CCGAGGGACTGGGTGGGAGCAGGTGGCTGGAGCTCCACAGCCACATCCATCCCCACAGTGTCTGGTCCAGGGGCTAGGAGGTGGCTGCCTCCCGCACAGCGGAGGCTACCAGGAGAGCTCTGCTTCCTACTGAGTGCAACTTCTGTTTGCTGCTTTAAAACCTACCACATGAGACAAACTCACTGCTGTAATAGCACAGAAACAATTTTCTGCACAGGATGACCAGTGTACAGAGAGAAGTGGGGCATAGCAAACCGTGGAGAAGCACTTTCTCCTCATTGCAGTGTAAAAACTAAAAGCACTGCTGAGCAGACGAGGCTGGCAGTTCTAGCAAAAGACAGGTGCATTTCAGTATTGCAATTGTTATACAAAATTTCATGCCATAAACCAAGTTTCTCTCTATAGGTGTGACATGTGCTTAATTACTCATCCTTTCTCAAACAAAAGGTGCTTTCAGGATAGCTGTACATTTGCCTCAGGTTATAATTCCCTTTTTCAGGTTGTATGTAATCATTTAGTATTTAAATTTGATTTCTTGTCCCATAATAAGAGAGCAGACATGGTTTTGTTTAATATTTTTAATATGGATGGATTTGATAATTTTATTTTATTGATGAAATGTCTCAGGACACATAGTGTATATAGAAATAATCACATTTTCAAGTGTTACCCTAAACAAAAACTGAATGTAAGCTGTCACTTTTTGCTTTGAGAATATTGAACTTAGTCATGGCAAAGGTGCCCTAGTCCTGGAACAGAAGCAATGTTAGATTGACAAATATCCTTTATTAAATAGGTTTAAGACCACCTCACGTCCTCCCAGAGGACTGGCAAAGCCACCCACACATCGCTGCTCTGGACAGCACCGGTGAGCAGCTCCGGCACTGGATTTATAGCGCAACAGATGGCTTGTGAGTTTGGCTTCAGCTCTCAGCATTGTCTTTTTAATCACTCCTGCTGTCTTCTGAACACTAGCCAGGATGATTCCAAGCTCTTTCTGACAGACAAGCAGCTATTTTATAGGCCATTGCACTTGTAGGCACACACACACTGGAGATGCTTTTCACTAAGTGCAACATCCCATTTCACAATCAGCCTTGGGTTCCAAAGTTACCTGAATATCCCCCATGTTTCACTTTCCTGTGGTCCCCTTCTCCAGATCCAGCCCCGCAAATCTCTAGATGACAGTGCTAGTAAATTCTTTCCACTGTGAAAACTGGTGAAAAGATAAGAAACAGAACAGAGAATAAATAGTTATTAATCCTCATAGATTCATCTTCCTACAGTGACTAAGACAGCATGGGCCAAGGCTTCTAGAGAAGGGACTTTCCAAATATCTTACAAAATGAAGTATATCATCCAGACCTTCGTTGTCTGCATGATCATTCACTCTTTCTAACAACAGATTCAGAAGTTATAACACCTCTCTATCCCAGCCATGTTGATGTAAATCTGTATTTTATTTCTCTACATAATAATGTTTACTTTTTGCTGTGCCTTGCAACTAAAAGGGTATCAAAGCAACTGGTGGGCTCCAAGGTGGAAACCATTAATTAGATTTTAAGGAAGGAAATGCCAAATCAGTTCTTTACAGTGAGAAGAGAGCTGAGTCGCTGGCTTTGCCTTGAGGAAAGACCTGAAAGTATCAGCCTTTTTCATTTCTGAGATAAAATACAAAGTTCATGTGTATCACAAATGTGTCAAGCCACAGTAAGTTTTGCATTACTACCAGCCAAATAAGAAGAGAAGACCTATTTCTGACTTGACTACAAATGACAACTATGATTATTTGTTCTAGTGCAGCCAGTGGTGTAAGTCAGTGTGAAACAATGAACTCCACAAAAGCCAACACCAGCTTGTACCTGCTATTTCCCAGAGACTCCAAGGTCTATTTGAAGTAAGGAAGTAATAAGAAATGGAAAGATGATGCTGACCTAGAACAGTTACTGTTGGAGGTGTTTCACAAATGGGATGGGACTGCTGGGTGACACATCACCAGCTTTTATTCTGGGCACCAGTCTCAGGTACAGACTCAGGAGATGGAACAAGCTCATGTCTGCCACAAGCAGCCGGAAATCTCTTTGTTACAGAACATTTTATAGGTTTTTCAGCCAATAGCATATTGCTAAAGCTTACAGACAATTGTTCTATCCAATCACTAAAAGCCCACGTACACCTTCTTCAAACAATGCTTACTTGTTTGTTTTCTATTAACAATACATAATACTCTATTTTTAAGCTTAAAACTTTCTATTATCTTGGTAAGCATATTTTTCTGCAGTCTTAAGGTCTATCTTGGCCAAGCCTAAAATCTCAACTATTGTTTCACGTCCTTGCATATTGTATTATTGTATCTTTGTTACTTTCAGGCCTTGCAGCTGCAGCTAGCTCTAAGTTCTCTGCTTTTTCTTTCCTGAGGCCTATTTTCACAGCTTCTGAGAACCTCTACTGTTTGCCCACAAGTTACACCATCTTCATAACTAACCTGAAATTTGTTAATAGAACAGGAGCTCCAAGCAGCACTAACATTTCTTTCCTTGGATGAAGCCTCAATCAAGAGACCCAAAGCTGAAGTTACTGCAGTGTTTTGTCCACATGAATGAAAGTTTAGCCAAGCTTGTACACAAGCCAGCCAGTGGCAGAAAGCCCAGCAGGTGTTTATTCCCCATCCTCTACTGCTACTATCCCCACAACATGGAGAGCTATCACAATATTTTGCTTTCTCTCTCCTCCCCACCCACTGTTGTATTTAAATGATAATTCCTTGCCATTTAACCTCTTTAGGATACTGAGCTCCCAAACTGGGACTTGGAGACCTGCACACCGTTGGTGTGCTGAAGGCCAAGAAACCAAGCCCTGGTACTGCAGGGAGTTGCTGTTCTCCTTACATCCTCACTGCTTCAAGTGCAAATATTGAAAGGACAGTTGCATAGCTGCCAACAGAGTGAAGATGTCTCAGGGGATACAGTACTATATTCCAGTTCTACTAATCTCTGCTTGCAGCAATTACTTCAGCATCATTAAAGACATTTGGTGCAGCAGCACCCAGTTTCTTGCACACAAAAAGCTGTGTTTATTTGGGAGGATAGGATTTAAGATGTATTACAGCCCTCCCTGACAGCGGTTAGACCGCTCCCAGCTTGAACCTATCACACCATGCAGGCTTTAGGTGCCTCGGGGGATCTGAAGCACCAAAAGTTTTGGACAGACTATCTACCACAGCAGTCTTAGTCAGGACAGCATGATATCTTTTGGATACCTGGTGCACTTTTATGTTTGAGATAACCCTAAGACACCACCTGAAACCTTACTGATATGTTTATATCTTAAATGACAAGAGGGTAAGAGCTACAAGAACGTGAAAATTCAGGTTAAGTGCTGCTTCTGATGTCGAGTATTATGAACTGACCAAAACTAATTAACTGGCAACCTGTAGCAAACTGCAAAGGCAAGACATAGCAGCCTGTCTCCCTTGAAGGAAGGAAGCAAATGAGGAACATCCTTAGATGGCTTACATTCTCCTTGTCCACCAGAACCAGCTATGGGTCATGTGATTTTACCTCTCTTTCTTTACTTCTGATATCCCAAACTCAAATCAGACAAACTTACCTCAAATGACCCCGTGTGCTGGGAGTTGTTATTTCACAACAGCTATTACTAATCGGCTGATACGATCCAGAGAATGCCTTCTGGTGTTCTGCTTTCTGGTATTAATCTGTGTCAACATCGAGACTTTCAAGCCAAGCAATTTAGGACTGAAATTCAAAATCAGGCAGTGGAGGATAACCTCCCTGATTAAACTGAAGTCTGGAAACAAAAGTCATAAATATATTACAACATGGAACTGCATGACCTACTTCTCTTTGCCTCAATAATAACAACTTCAGAGATTTTACTAGTTAAAAAATAAATCCAATTCATTTCTCATAGCCTAAAGTTAAGTATTTTAACATTACAGCACAAACCTTTTAAGTTGGGCATTCACTTTCTCTGAGGGAATGCAAATCTGGAGGGTTTTTTTTCAATTAGAAGCAGAAAAGCGACCTTTAATTGCAGCATTTCAAATTATTGCCATTTAATTAATCAAATTTGCATAAGTTAGCAGAGTAGCACAGCTTTGAAATTGTGCTCAGGCACCAAAGTGAAGTTTGACTATTCTGCCTCCCTCTCTCCTTTTTTAAAATCTGTATCTAATGTATTTCTATGTGACATTTTCAAGCTCCAAAAGGTTAAAAAATGCAGGAAATGTGGCTTCAGAAAATTAAATTTAAAATTATTATGTTAATAAAAGCTAGAACTAACCCAAATATTTTTAATTTTCCTAGGACAAAGATTGCTGCTCTCTTGCAAGCACCAATAGAAATCCTTTCTGGCTCTGTACTACTGCACAAGAACCTGAGGGAAGCACTGACTTTTCCCATGGCACCTTAGCATGTGCCCAATAAGCCAGGGTTTCTCTCCCTCCCTGCAGATATCTTTCTCCACCAGCAAGTTCCCTGACAGAGACAGTGCAGGCAACTTATAAAGTCTTTTATTCTAGTATAAATTATAATGAGCTGTCTCACCCAGTTAACATTCAGTCCCTAGATAAATCTTCAAACCCATTGGCATTTTGGATGTCAGCAAGTCCATGTGGGGAAGTGCAAAATAGATTATTATCAAGAAATACCAGTGGAAGAGTGAATAAAGCAGCCAAAGCAGATAGGTCATTTTATTACCTGAAAACCTGAACTGATTCTAATATTCAATTGCTTTGTTGCAAGTGTTTGATTTCCATAACAAAAACATTATATAAATTGCAAGTATCAATGTTATCTGAGTCTGCAACACAGATTCAAATATTAGATAAGCATTTGCATCCTGTTTGTATGTGTGCATGTTTCATAAGGCACCTCCATATTTATCACACTAATGTTACCATAGAACTGGTCTCAACATTACTATAGGCATTTTAGAATCAAAAAAACATAAGAAATGGTGTGAGGTTACTTTAAAAAAATTGTTCAAAGTTATTTTCCTTGCTCTGGAGTAGAAGCAAGTCAGTTCTGCCCTGTAAAAGCCTTTGATTTTATGATCAGTCAGGATGGGGTGGTTTTATTACTTTTGCATTATCCCAGTGCCCTTGTTTTAGATAAGGTATGCAGAAGCCAACATAACTTCTCAGCATTTAGGACTGTAAGATTAAGAATAGTAATTGTTTGCAGTGCTGTTCCCACAGTAGAGCTGCCTGTTTAAACCATTTCCTGGCTTTGTAATTCACTGTTTCCTCCACACTTTCCTCCTCTTTCACTTTGCAGGCTTATTTCTACTGGAAGTTATTTTTCAGAATGGCACTCCCAAAAATTCCAGACCAAGAAGAATATGTGGTTTTTCCCTGCACCATATTAATCTCTCCCCTAAACCTTGGGAAGCAAGACCCTGCTTCTGCATTGAGAATAAAGTTTGCATGGGCTACTTTTTACAGAGTGTTTTTCAATATAGGGATATTTGAATTTGTTAATCTACATGGCTTCAACTGATTCATGTGTTCAACTTATTCAGCAGCTTTGTCCTACTTTCTGCAAGTCTGATTATGACCAAGATTGTTTATAGCCAGTCCAGGGTATTTACTGGCTGCTTTTCTCCTGGATGATCTGTGTCTCCTAGTCAGGGATTGTCTTCCCTTTCTTCTAAGGTTTCAGTGGGTCATGAGTTCAGTAATTTTCAGCTCCCTGCTGATGCATCTGTAACTCCTCTGGTTTCTCCCCCAAAGAGGTCCTCCCCCAAATGTTAAAGAAAAGCATATGAAGTTTAGGCTTGAGAGTATCCAAATTCCATTCCCACACTTGTGCAGAAGCAGACACCATGTCTGCCAAGGCTGAGGTCAAGCATGTTATTCCAGGGAGCTGCTTCAGAGTTAAAAGAAACACTGAACCTCTCTTTGAAAGGCATGTGAAGCATATTAGTTCTTAGGGTTTTTCTGTCCAGAATAAGACTAAAAAACATTCTTCTGACCGGTACTGAAGTCTAAAAAGAGACTGCAATTGGAGTTAAATTGATATTATACATGAAGGACCATGCCAATCTTATTATAAAGACAAAAAAAATCACAGAATTTGGTCTCCTAAGTAGCATGAACAGCTCACACTATCTGTTAAAGTTGCTAGAATTCCTGCTGTGAGAGCTTTCCCTCCCCCCCCAGGAGTAAAACATAGTAGCCATCATTTCATTAAAATAGACGTCATTTTAACCTTTGCTATTTACTTGCTTCAGATCAGCTCTTCGGAGGTTCAGCCAAAAAAGAATTTTTTTTCACTCCTCCAGTTGAAATTCCTGTAGTCATTTCCCCAAAGGCAATTTCTGCATTGTAAAAGTAAATAATTTTTTTTTTTTTTTTTTTTTCATAGGCCAGAAAACATGCATCCTTTGAATAGGGCTAGACTTGGTCAAGTACCAAGTATGTGATACTTCACCCTTCACAGCCTTGTTCAGGCTTATCAGAAAAGCCAGTTTACATTGCATAGTAGACATGTAACACAGAGTGTAAACACACTTAGTCATAGTGTTCCTCCTTTCTGATAACTGGAGATAGAGGATCAGAGCTGCTCCTGGAGCCAGCAGCAGCAGTGCTTGGAACACCTCTCACGGAAAGCACCCTGAAAATTCCAGTGTTGGGCGCCTGCTTGTAGCAGTGCCCTTGGCAGTCACAGGATCTGCTCACGGCTCCTCAGCTTTAACTGATGAACTGCCTGTGCTCCCAGGGAGGTGAAGGAAATTGACTTTTTATTGCAAAAGACATGCAGGCCTGAAAAGGAGTTGTTCTACTCAGCCATCTTCACCAGGGTTTGTTACTCTGCACCATTTAAGGGCAAAGCCATTTAAGAATCAAACTTCCTCATCAGGGGAACAGGAGGGGCACTGATCTCTTCTCTGTGCTGACCGGTGACAGGACCCAGGGAATGGCCTGGAGCTGTGTCTGGGGAGGTTTAGGCTAGATATCAGGAAAAGATTCTTCTCCCAGAGGGTGTTTGGGTGCTGGAACAGCTCCCCAGGGCAGTGATCACAGAACCACCCTGACAGAGTTCAAGAAGCATTTGGACAACGCTCTCAGGCACACGGTGGGACCCTTGAGGATGGTGCTATGCAAGGCCAGGAGTCGGACTTTGATGATCCTTGTGTGTCCCAAGTGGGAGCATTCTGTGATTCTGTATTGTTCTTAAAATTTTTCTACAAAAAGACTCTTGGTTGCCTCGTCTCTTTTCTTAATAATGTGAGACAGTTATTACAAATCAATACCCTTTATAAATTTACCTTGGAGGGACAGACAGGGAGGTAGATCACTCATTAGAGAACACATTTGAAAGAAAGCAGACTAGACAACACAACTGCAAAGTTTCTCTGCAGCAGGAAGTTCACGTACTGAGGTTAGCCCAATAAGTTTAATAGTTAAGGAAAAACAGTGGGTATTTACTCACACACAATTTTATGAGAGGAACAACTGAAATGGCAGCAAGAAAAACACACTTTTTGGACAAACTGATATTACATCACGTTAGTGGGCCACAAACTCTTTAAAAAAATAAATCTTTTGAGACATGAGAATGAAATCACATTTTAGCATGCTTCAAATAGCTGAAAGGCTCTTCAAAGCATACATTTTCAGCTATTGGCAAAGACAATGATTATCTCCTCATCTGGAAATTAAAAAGCATTTAGCAATAAGTTAAAGCTAGCCTACATGTAAATGGGCTAAATACTAGTCAGAGAGTTTTCCCTTTTCACATTTAAGGTGATACTACAGTTCATCACTCCTGTAGCTTATATGCTGTTGTGCAATGCCCCATTGAAGTTTCACATCTACTCTGAGAAAGAGAACAAGGGTAAACAGCTTTCTTTTAGGATAGTCACAAATGGTAAAAACAGTAGTATTTGTTCATCGGTTTAATTAGATGTTTGCTGTTTATCACACACAAGAACTGTAAGCAGAGTCCATGGATTCTTCTGAGCAATATGAAACCTTCTGGTTCTATGCAAGTTCAACACTGCCCCACTCTCTTTTTTCCTCTCCTCCTCCTATCTGCTGTTTTCCCCAGCCCAAGTTTCCAACCATCTTCATATGCAAGAAAATTTTACTTTGTGACTGCTACCCGAGGGAGCCTGGCTCCAGGCTCATGTCGGCTTCAGGTACGTCTTACACCACAGGAAGCTGGATGTTTTTCTTTTGAGGCACTAGAAGTTAGGCTAAGAGTAATAGTCAAGTTGCCCAAAGCTAAAGGGACAAGTAGCTCTCATTGCCTTCCTACTTAGATAGCCAGCAAAGAAATTTTATTTTCCCTTTTTTTCCCTGAAATAGATTAAGTACATTTTGCAGTAACAGATTCCCCAGTCTTTCATTCACACATCTGTAACCCTGAAGTTTACTGTCCCATTTCACTTGAGTTTTCTCAGCCTCATGAGAGAAGTTAACAAGGGATCTCTCCACATTCAGATACATACACAATCTTTTTTGTCTCTTAATAATTATCAAGTTTATAGTTGTCCTTTCACATTCTCAAGCTAAGCCAAGACAAGCTCAGTTCTATGACAACATTTTCATGTACCTCTCTTCAGAGAGAGAGCTGCTGCAGCTGAACAAGACAATTGCAGCATGCTAGTTATACTTGGATTTGATAAGCAGTTGGAAAGAGGAGAATAACCAGTTTTCTCATTTGTCTGTTTTCAGACATATAGAAAACCCCACTGTCAGCATCTTGAGTAAAAAACAGGTGACATCTTCAGACCCTAGTAAAACCACTTATGCGTGTTAATTTGTTTAAATGAACACCCCCACCTCAAGTGACACAGTGGCCTGCAGTCTTCCTTGATCCATTCACAGAGCAAGAGTTATTTTTACTGAGTCAGTAATCATGCATTGTATTCCAGAGGAAATACTAGCCGGGTACCCCTGCTTGTAACTTCATGATCTGCTGCTCCCAAATCACGTTCCAGTGCTTCCTCCGAACTACTTTTTGTTCTCCTGCTGTCAAGGTTAGTGGTAGCTGTATGGGGGCCAGAAGAACCATTTGCAGTTATTGTTGTATCACCATATGTCACGGTAAGGTCACCATCATTCAGAATAAAATCAGAATCCTCTTCTCGGAGCTGCTCCTGATTCTGAAAAAGAGAAAAATCTTTATACAATGCACAGCACCTTTCTTTGCCCAGAACATTACTGAAGAATTTACCTTCATGTCAATGCAGGAGAGATAAGGTTCCACCTTAAGAAATGTTAAAAATAACCTTGAACCCAGTGTTTGCAAATCAGCTTACTGTTCCCTGTATAACTACAGCTACTGGGGAGAGATGAGAGGGAGCTGAAGCCAAGAACTAGGTTATGGAACGGGTGACCCGGGATTCAGTAACACTGGAAGCACACCAGAAGTACAAGAGATGAGTGAGAAAGCCCAAAATCTCTATATTCAAGGATTCCTCGCCACTTTTTTTTATACACCAAGAACTAACAATATTCATTCAAACTATGTCCTTACTTTTACCTGTTACTAAATAAAGAATTACTTGACCTAGTTCTTTGGAATGCTCCTGAGCCATAAAGGATAGATACAACAAAGTGCTTGCTTCATAGTTTTGTAACTAGTTTTGATGTGTTTTTTTCTCAAAAATAATTTTAGAAAGACACTCACAAAACCCTGTGAATTTGTTTTGGCAGAGATGGAATGAAATATATAGTCAGAGAATAGAAACTGCTGAATTGTAATAAAGCACTTAATTTCTCTATCATAGCATAGTACAGCAAAATGCAATTGTACTGTGTTTCACTCCCATTTAACCTGGTAGAAGGCAAAATAGCCTGAAAAATTGGTCAGAAAATGGGCTTCCTTCAAATTTGAGGAAAATTCTAATCAGTACTATAAGCTTGCTTTCTTGCAACTGAAAGCAATTATTTCCCCACATGAATGGCTCCGTACTGCTTAGCAGGAGCTGAAATGTGTATTGCTGTTCCCTCGGTAGGCTGGACACGGATCAGGCTACATTCTCAAAATGCATTATTTTCTTCCACTGCGGCAAAGGAAGGGGGGCACAGGCCATGTGAGATGGGATGTCTGTGATCAACGTGAACAGAAAGTGCTGCCTCTACTGCAGAACAGGAGTTCAGGGCACTGGAGATTGAAAATGCTGATTAACCTGTCCATGATGAAAAATGCAGCTCCTGGCTAAATAAAACTTCCTGGGAAAGCTTCCTGTCATTATGTCAGAAAGATAATCAGACAAAATAAAGCAGCAGAAGCCTCTAGATGATACAGAATATATAACTAATGAGGACTAGAAGAGGTGTCAGGAGTTTCCCAAAATCAGCGAAAGAAATGGTGCAGTTCAGCTTTGGGTGCAAGACAAGCCCTACTTCCAAGGAATGCTAATTTCTTAGAACCCTAATGGCACTCAAATTTATCATTGCTTTTTTGAGACAGGGTTAGTCTGATAGAGAGCACTGTTCTCAAAGAGCAAATACAGGTTAGGACACTTGTCTTTTTGATCACAAAGAAAATGCTGACCTACTGGCACCATCTTAAATAGAAAAAAAAGGGAGAAATTAAAGGGTTCAGCTATAATCGGCAGAAACAGCCTTTGCAATCTTTTAGTTGCAAAAAAGTTAAAAGTCTGAGGTGCAAGACCAAAATGATTAAAAGGGTCACAAAATAATCAGTTTAAGAAAAACTGCTATCTGGATATATATTGTTTTGAAGAAGGGCATTAAAATAAGGACGAAAATCAGAAGAATGAACAAGAAACAGGCAGCTTGTGACTGTTGACTGATTATGTTTTAAAAAGCCAAAGAAGGTGCAAAGGTGTAATCACACGTTCCCCTTCACTGTGTTTGCAAGCTTGGACAAGCACCAAGGAGAGGAAGGCAGAGCTAGCAGAGCACCAGAAGGTATTGCTCTACCAGGGCCACATGTGAAGTGGCTGCAGCAAGCTCCCAAAGCACCTCCTGTCTCCACAATGCTATTGAACAGCAAACCCTTGAAGCCACCTATCAGGTTAGAAACTGGTAAGAACACTTGAGCTTCCCCAAAAGGCTGAGGAGCTCTTGGAAGCATGATACTGAAAGAGGGTCACACACTTTATACTATATGGCAAGTCCTGACTGTCTTTCTTGGTTTGTCCAAGGCTACACTTACATGTAACTAAACGTGATCAGTTCCAGAGAAAACACTCAGCTTTCTCTCAAGGTAGTGAACAAACATTGCCTTGTACAAGCCAAGATTCACTTATTTGCTTCCATTCTAAATAGTACTGCAAGCAGCATGGATTTTATTTCATGTATTTCCCCAGAGAACACCCACGAAAAATCTCATGTACTACACAGATTTACTATGTTTGCAAACAAAGAGGACGGGTGAATAAACCTATCGTGCTTCACGCAGCATGAACAATTCTTTCACGAAAGACAGGAAATGTATCCAAATAGATCCACAGAGACTTGAAATACTCCCAAGAATAACCCTAAACAGGCCTCTGCAATTCCCTACAGTTCTGTAGGAAAAGCTTCAATTCACCCAGAAAACACAGGTCTGAATGACACTGCTTAAACTGACACACTAGAATGGCTAAAAACTTGAATCCAAAACTCTGCAAAAGCCTGAACTCTGCTTTGATGTGCTGACCATAACCTTGAGGGACCTCCCTGCAGACTCTTGGTGGTAAAAGCTGTTCATGCTCCTATGAATGCATGCTGGCCATGTTTTTTGTTACAAAAGCTTATTTAAAACGAGTTACTGCTTGCAAAGCCAGTCTTTATTGCCTCCTGAGATAATGTTAAAAAAAGAGCACAGGCAAAGTGTGATGCATGTGCAAAGTGCTGGCAGCCATCACAAATGCTGGTGCTGAACACAACACAGGCCCCACTGATAACAAAACTTGCATCAGAAGTTACTTATCTTGTGGCTCCAAAATGAAAGCATCAAGTACCATGCATGCAAAATATATTCCAACTTAAACCTAATGCTCCATTTAGTTTCTTGCTCAGCTGAATTTAAAATCTCCAAGGAAACTAAGTAATTTTTGCTATGGAGCTAGAAGCATTAAGGAGGGGGAAGGGGCAGCCTGGCTGAACAGTTTTCTTATACATTTTGAGAGTTATCTCCTCCAAAGATTGCAAATCAAGTTTCTTCACTGGGCTTGCATATTTATAAATTACTTCAATTACTTCTAGTTCCATACCAAGCTGTCACTGTGTATGCGCAAGAAATACACTTTTTTTAAAATGTGGAAGAGCCCTGAAACAAACAAACAACAAAAAAGTATCCTCAGGAATACTCAGGAATACTTCTTTCAGTTGGAATATTTATTCTGATAGAATAAAGACTGATAGAACAGAAAATTACTAGAAGTTTCAAACTACATTTCAAAAGGAAAAGCAAAATAACTTATCTACATCAGTTTGGGATAAGCTGGAAAGCCCTGCCAACTGGTCATGCACTGAAGACAACACCAGAAAGACAAAAATAGTGATTAAAATTATAATTTTCAAAATTTAATGGCTAACTGAAGCAACTTTCCATGCTTTAAATTCCAACTTGTCTGTCTGGGTTGGAAACAGCCTAGTGGCACAGCCTTAAAGCAGTGGGAGAATGTCAGCAAGGAACACTAACATCATCTCTGGAAAAAATCCACTGTACCTCACCCCTGTGGGCTGACTCAGAGCCCTACACATACTCCATGCAAATTGAGGCTTAGAGGACACAATCTCATGCTGAGGAATAAGTTGTGGGTGGCCTGCATTGCAGGATTATTTGACTTTCAGACTTTCGAACCCCCCTGTGGCATTTAATTAAAAAGACCTACTCCCACTTGTGGAAGAGAGAGTGAATTCTAAGTAAGGTCGTGATAAAATCAGAGAAGAAAAAAAAAATAAAAAAAACAAAACAACAAAAGCTAAAAGCAATCTACAAATATACAGTCAGCATAGCCACATATTTATTGCTTTCTTCTCTATATAGATGTTATAAATACATATTGTGATATTGGCTTTTTGCAAGTGTTAAGATGAATATATGTTAGAATAGCTTTTACTGTCTTTTTCTTTTTAATCCTGCTGGTAGCTAAAAAGTTTTTAGGTGTAGGTCACGAAGAAGTTTGGACATTAGGGTTAGGACCTGTCTGTACAAAGCAAGATAACCTCCAGTGAACAGATGATGGGGCCCAGGCTGCTGACTCCCTGCAGAAGAAAGAACCCCAGCCCAAATAAAAATGTGATAAAAGAGACATTAAAACCTAAAAAGGCAGACCCAAGGAGTGACCATGCAGAACAGTTTCTGGAAAAGATTGAATATGCATAAATCCATGTAGCAGGATGGTATATAAAGGGCGTTCCCTCAACACCAGGTGTGCCCTTGGCAGAGAGCCAAACACCCAGCCGTTTTAACCCTTTGCTTTATTATCTTTGTCTCCTAATTGTCTTTTTGTTTATATTAAACCTTTTAACATTTATTAGGCGAGTGAACCTCGTTTTTCACATAGATGTCATAACTCAGATACGCACCTGGAATGAGATCCAGGATTTAATACTTGTTTGGGAAACATATTTTACAGTTATGTTATACTTTATTAAGTATTTACAGACTTTTTTTGTTCTTCTTGTTTAACTGAAAATATTCAGTCTTTAATTCTCACAGGGGTACCATTTCATTTTCCTGGAAATACCTCCCAAAAGCACTATTCCAAAGCCATTTCTGTCCCCACTAAAACATGGCTGTCTCTGTTGCTTCACCTGCATATAACAGAAAGGCAAAAAAATTTCACAGCTTATTAACCAGTAATGTAATGTCATAGCCAGGTGCTGTAGCAAAGTCAGCCATGTAAAGAAGCAAATAGACCCAAAGCAACTGCAGGGTTCAGAAATCTTGAAAAAAAGCTAGAAATAAAACATCTAAATTATATTCTTTCCTAAGACAAATGCAGCACTGCACTGAAATAGGAACAGGAAAGAGAATACAATAGGAAAGTTCCACATTATACACCTAAACAAAGTATGCAACCTTACAAGCATTTTTAATGAAGTTAATGTCCTGTATGTATCACTGAGCCAATCTATTAAATAGTAAGTTTTCACATCTGGTAGTAGCCAACAATGAAGAGTAATGAGGTGGAGGGGGGAAGAGGGAAGAAAAAGAGCCAGCTATAAGAGAAAATGAGAGTTAAAGCTTGCATGTTCATTCTGGTTAGATCCTCAGTTACTGGACAATTTCTCTCTTAGATCATACATAGACATGTGGGTAATGCACAAGTGGGTTAATTGGTCTGATGCATGCCTTCCAATCTAGACATGTTTTAAGACCTCCAGTCCATTGCAAAGATGGGAACTAGACCAATTTCTTGCATTACTATAGTTCCAATTGGGCAACAGGTAGCTCTAAGTTCTTTGAAATTTTTCTATCAGGTACAAGTAAGATGCTAATGATACCCAGAAAGAAATGTAGGGAAAGATTTCAAAGCTGCAATTAGAATTCATAACTTTCTCAGAAAAGATTAATAAACAATTGGTCCAAGACTACTTAAGCACAGAGATATCAATATTCCAGAGAACCTGCAGATTTGAGATGTCCCACATAGTACTATGGTTTTATTTACAAGCAGCTCATGAAAAGTTGTAGATTTCAGAAACACTGTACAGATAAGAATGACAAGGATCAGGATCCTGCAAGAATAATAAAACAGAGCATTAATTATTGCAAGACACTGCTGTAAAGACAGTGTAGCAACCTGCTAGACTGAGATAAGTAACTGATTAACAGTTTCTGAAATCTGATCTCAAATTTCTCAGTGGAAACAATGAAGGGAAACTCCACCAGGTTTTTTTCCAGCTGGGTAAGTGTGTCAATGACATCTCTAAGGAGACCTCGAAGTTTAGCAGTAACAGGCAAAGAATCTTGTCCAAAAGTCTTGAGAAGGGATGGAATATTATGGAGTGATTCACTGAACTGGGTTGTTGACTATGCATGTAATTTCCCCATATCCTTAAATGTTATTTTTCTAGTGTAGTATTTGAACAATGAGATAATTCCTGATCTTGAACAACAGAAGCTTTTGCCTCAGGGGAGAGTATCTTAAATTTTTCTGCCTAGAAGAATGAGCACTTTCTTGCAGTATGTCTATAAGACCAGCTGAAACCAGGACATTATCTAAAAAGAAAAAACACCAATTTGCTAAAGTTGAATAAATAAAAAACAAAACCAAGAGGTACTGAATTGTTCTACTTACATCATAAACCTGGGGACTTGTCAGACAGCGGGCTATCAGGCCACACCAGCTGGGCAGTGTTGTGGTCAACGGAGGGCCACTGTGAGTGAGAATTGGCTTTAAATAACTTAAGTAGTTAAGGAAAACACACCAGTCCTCAAAAACCACTTTTGAAAATAAAGAGACAATTGTACATAAATGTGGTTCTGCCTTTAAACTGTGATATGCAATAATTGTACACCCTCCCAACATTTTCCCCTTGATTGTTTCAAGGGCAGTTTCTTTACTCAGTAAACTTCTGCAAGGACCACTAGCTAACTTTCTTCTTACATGTTTCAAACAGTTGCAATGTTTCCAGCTTCTGTGCTCTCAAGTAAAAAGGAGAAAGCAAAGGTGCTTCAGTGTTGAAAGGTCCGAGGGTATTTCTGCTCAGAAGATGGGAGCATGGTGTAAAGGTTGCAAGCTATAGGTAGCAAGGTGACATTCCTGTGTGGCTCAGTATAGGGAAATACAGAAATTCTGTTCATTCAACATCCTCAAAGCAGTATAGCCACTTGATCTGCTGGTTACTGAGCCACAGAGGTGCAACCAGAGATATTATCCCGGTAATACCCACAGACATTTCTGCAGTGCACATACATTTACCACATGGAGCCTCAGAAAGGCAAAGGGAAAACTGTATGCAAGAACCATGTACCACAGTGTTGAAGGAAAGCAGTGCTACCAAGATGACACTGAGGGGACGTGGCCATGGGAAAGGAAAGTGTCTTTACTCCTATTTTACAGGTCTGTGCCCAGGTTAATCCACATTTTTCACATGAGTACTCCACACTGATGATATGCCTGAAAAAAATACCCAAGAGTCAAAATACGTATCTCTGTTAAAAAGCAGCATGTTGATCTTGACTAGCATATGAATCAATCAATTTTATTTTAAATACAAATATATAAGTTGCAGGGTTTCTAGTTACTTTCTTAGGCCTCTAAGCACAGAGAGAATCAAGCCCATTTGTAAATATAACAGCTTCCCTCCTAACCCATTAAGATGCTTAAGCAAAGAGGGGGTTAAAAGGGGACTGTTTTAGCAGTGCCTGGCATAGCTGTTTATTCCAGCAGAGTTACATTTCCTCCTTCACTAATAGTGCGGTTCCACCCATTCCTGGAAAGAAACAAGCTCTTCACCCTTGCACTAACCCAGGCTCCATGTGCCCCAGGCCAGACAGGCAGCAAATCAGCCATGAAAAAACAAGCCTAGTTAAAGACATCTGCTACTTCATCAAAGCTGAAGTTTTCTCCATGTTTAACAGTTATGGGAGAACCCAGGGAACAGCCCACAACATTAAGTGAACTCTGCATTCTACAGGAATGAAGTTCCCACTTATCCATGCGTACAGAGCTCTGCAGGCAATAGTGAGCTTTGGAGCACGCTTTTCCATCACTTACTCACATCTTTTTCAAGTTAAGCTCTCCTGCAAAGAGTGAATTTTGAGACTCAGCCTTTCTACCCAGAAACCAAGTGAATGCACCAGCAAAAAAAAACATGTAGCCATGGATATAGAGGTGGCAATTCTAAAGGTCATCCCATCTGCACAATTTAAGCCCACCCAGCCAATGCTTATTTGAACGCCTTCTTCCAACAGAAGGAGCAAACTTTTATCTCTGCCTACAGTAAGACAGTTCTGCCTCTCAGTGTCAGTTTCCTTGGCACAAACTTCACAGAAACTTTTCCTAAATATTGCTAGTCACCACTGGGGAAAAAAATAAAGGGAATGTACTGTCAGGATCCTTGAAGTTTCTGTGAAACAGGTAGTTAGGGTGTAATTTTCTCCAGGCACTCCCCCCGCCTTTGCTGCAGCTGCTAGGGAGGGACTGTTCTCTGCAAGCATCAGCTGAGGGAAGTCAGCATTGCCAACTACTCCTTTCATCGGGCACATCCCTTTTGTAAAGGCAGGGGAAGAAGACAGCTCTGCTTCCTTCTTAAAAAGACAAAAAAGAAGCAGTCAGCCACAGCCAGATCCTTTCATGCTTATTAACACCAAAGTCTCTCTCTCTTTTTTTAAATAATAAAAATTGATCTTGAGGCACTTCGAGACCAGTCACTAGAATTTGAAGAGTTAATGTGGAATTATGAACATTTATGAATATTTAAAATAGCAGGTACACTCCCTTCTGTGCTTTGGGTCAGTACTACTGCATCTGAAAGCATTGGTCACAGACAGAATTTATCCTAAAGATGGAAGTGCTATTAGGATCCAAACATTTTCAACATGCTAGCTGGGTTAGCCTGGGTGTGAAAGCCTCATGCACAAGGCATGGAAGGAAACTACTGTGCTTCAACCAGCCCAGAAATCTTTCATCATTCAAAGGCCAAGACTCCAGTGAAAAGACTCACATGCCAGCTTCAAGAACATTAGGGCCCTATCACTGGTCATTGTGTATAGTTAGCTGCCCCAGAAATTACTAGGAATTCAGTATTGAAATTTCTTTGGGTTTCTAGATGTAGGTGATTTGCCATGGCCACAGGATTATCTTTGCCATTTTCTGTTAAGTGACTGTGTAAGCTGTTGAGGAGGAGCAGCTGTGACATACTTAATGTGTCATAATTGATGACATACTGATTAAGTTATTAATCAGTATTAAGTAGATTTTAAAAAAAAACAAACCAAATCCACAAGCATGAAATACAGGACAGCTACACAAAAGTTGCTCAGAATCTTAAACAAGGTTATCTAAATAGTATAATAGCTTCAGAAAGGTTGTACAGTACTATATACACTCAGAGACTCTGCTTTAACACCCATAGTACCTTCTGGATATATTTAAGGAGGTAAGCTGGATCTCATGTAGATTTTTATTTCCAGAACTTTCCCTTTAGAAATCAACCACAGATTTTGGGACTTCATCACAAAAGCAGATGGCTCTGCAGAGCAATGAGTCGAGGCTTAGACATGTACAATGAACTGGAAACTTAATTTGTGCTATGAGCATGATTGAAAATAAGAACAGATTAACAGAACAAACCAGAGGACCTGAAATAGTTAATTGTCTGCCTTGTTTAGGAAGATACTTGACCTCTGAGTGGCTTCTGTCCTCCAGCAAGTGTCACACGCCCTGTGCTAGGGAAAGGAAAGGTCTGACTGCTGAGCCAGTGATTTCCAGCTTCAGTTCTGTGCCTTGAGCCCGTCAAATACTTGAGAGTCAAACAGGAGGAAGATCAAGTGCTTAAGGCTACATATGGGTACATGGAAAGGGAAAAAGTGAACATTTCATGCCTTAAAACTAAGCTGTGTTCAAAAGGATACTTATGATCAAAGCTATACCACAGCCTGAAGAGCCAGGCACTTTCCTGTTTCGTCCTGTTCCTTCGTGCAGAATCTTGGCCATCCTAAAAGTAAGATAGAAACATATTCAATTACTTCAGGCAAAAAAACACAGAACTATACCCTCTGACAATTCATAATACAATGTCCTGTCCAAAAAAAACCCACCGAATTACATCAATACTGTGCTTGAAATGCAGAAGAAAGCTGTTTAGAGACTTGCTTATACTGAGTTTACTTTTCCTAGAAAGACCAGAAATGACTACAGAGAACTACATTGTCTTCATTGCACTCAATTTACTTTAACAACTGAGGAGTACCAGCAACTCCTCTGGAGCTTAAAATTTTATGTCACTCTTAGAATAGTAACAGATAAAAAAATAACTTCCAAACTGATAAATAAGCCTCACTGATAAATTCTCAGAAATCTGATTAAATATATCACATTTAAAAGAAACATGCTCAGCAGAGAATTCATATAAAGATGACAATTGAGGGATGTCATGCAAATCTCAGAAATGCTGGATCAACCTTGAAAGGGCTAACAGTGTTAAATATAATCTCTTATCTAGCTGTGCTGCAAATCATCACACCAGCTGGTCTGCAGCTGCATTTGTTTTTACTTTTGTTAGTTTAGGGTTTGAGTGTTTTGCTTTGTGTTTTTGTTTTGTTGTTTGTTGTTTGGATGGGGGGGGTTGTTTGTGGCCAGAGGCCAGAATTAAACACAGGAAAACAAATGAATGCCTTGTATGAATCATCTTCCAAACTACTGGAAAAGAACAAGACAGGATTACACTGTGTACTTCCGGCCTGCAAAAAAATCCATGATCCACCAAGAGTAAAACCTAATACATTTTCTCCCCCTCCCCCTCCCAAATGATATATTTTCTTTAACTGTGACATACTGCTAATCTTGGCTTGGTGAAAGAAAGATGAATCCAAAGGGAACTGACTAATGGACTACATTAGCAATGCAATGCACAGCTAAAGAGGGGAACAAATGGGTAAGTTCTTTATGTTTACATGGGAAAAAACAAACATGATTTTTCCACAGCAGACACAGACTGAGAACAGAATACCCATGCCCTGTTTCCTGTTAAAGCAATTCCTCAGTTACTGACAAGCTCAGTCTGAACTGGCCAAAGCCGTCTTTCCACAATACCACTTCCTAACCTCGGTTATGTGCAATAATTGTGGCCTTCTCTGTAAAAGGTGTTTTGAGGCTTGGATTTTTGATTGCTTCCAGATAGTTACGAAACAAATTTCGCCCTTACTGGTAGCCAGCTCCACCATTTCAGCATCTATTTTGTGTGCTGGACACAGGCTTTTGCAAAGAACACAGAGATGCCAAGTGCAATTTCTGAAATGAAAGAGATCCTTTCTGGGCAAGTATCTCTTACCTGTACAACATGTAACAAGAAAAGAAAAAGAAAGGATTGAAAAAAAAAAAACCAAAAACAAAAACAAACAAAAAACCCACAAAAAAACAAAAACCAAAACCAAAAACCAAACCAAAATGAAATAAAAAAACAAGGCAGGAAAAATCACTATGAGAAAAAATAATCCCAAATACATTCATCTATCTCTGACCAGCCAGAACACCAGTATCATCATACAACACTTGTTCCCTAAGCATGCTCTAGATCCAAAGTTACCTGCCATTCAACTTCCTCAAGTAGGTGCCTACCTAAGAACCCCAGCTGTGATGCTGAACAATCAGCATCAAGCAGAACTCTGCAAGAGTGCAAACCAAGGTCTGGACAGAGGAAACTGCCAATTAAACCTGAGGAATTTTTGAGTTGTTTTGTTTTTTTTCCAGACCTTTCCCTCCTCCTGTGAATCAACTCAAGTTTATAGATGAGCAAAACTGAAAATTCTGCTATGAACAGCATTCTTCTAACAATCTTATTGGCCAATAGCATATTTCAGGGAAGAAATGTCAACTCTTGGGCTGTTACTGATGCATGGAAAGCTTCACTAAAGATTCACAGCAATAGTTTGCTGAATACAAATGACAATTTGCCTGTGCTCCTTCTGCTTCACCCAGGTGATAGGTAGTCCAGGCAGGATCCTGCTGGCATGTGGTTTGGTATACGAGAGTCAAGATCAGATTAACAAATGTAATCTTGGATTCTAAGCAAGTCCAAGGGCCAAAATTTGGTATCAGTTAAGGAAGAGGTGCCAAGAGTATTACCTCTTAACTGAGAAGAACTATTTATGCAGTAGCATGCTAAGAGCAAGCATGTTGGGTAGGTGGGGGAAGAGGAAAATGCATTGTTATATGGACCACATTAGTAGATTTGGGAAGGTTTGTGATGCCTTATCTGTACACGGAAACGTGACCACAACAGTGTTACACCCAAAAGCACTGAATGTTTTTCAGTGGGCATTACTTGAATATTGCAAAGCAAAATCCCCTACTGACTTGACAGCTAGGAGAGAAAGGTTTTATCCATGCATATAACTTCTGCAGTTTTCTATTGTCTTAGTTATAAAATAAGATTAGCCTAATAGCAAAGTTATGTAATTACTTACTCCTTGTAAGACTTGAAAGCTGTCATTAGTAGGTGGAGGATCCTGATCTGGGTCAACCCCAACCCTACAGAAACATTAGGAAAACAAAGCAAGAGGTGTTACTGAGGGTTGCAAATGCTATAAGCCTGGCAGAATGCATTTTAAAAGCACTTTAAGCACCCAGCAAAGCTGCAAGAGAGGTTATAAGAATAGATTGAGGAAGAGCTGTCCATTACTAACCTGCAGTTACATAGCTATAAATAAGATACTTTTTCACTCAAGAAACTGCTTTAACTCTGTGTTGTCATCAACTTTAACTGCTTACCTTTGCTGCCAATTTTTTTAGAACAATGGAAAATACTATTTCTTCCTTAAAAAGTAGATGGCATCGTCTTCAGTGGAGAGCATCCCTCATATCCAGAAGGAAGGAAACATAAAGATAAGGGCCAGCCTAAATATTTTACACAGCAAATAACTGCCAGATAAACCCAAGAGTGGCTGAAATACATTATTTTAAAAAGACACACACACTCCCTGTTTTAATGCACTATGGGAAACGCAAAAAATATTTTATAAAGGGTGACAACATTAATTTGCTTCAAGTTTCATTCACCTAGCATAACACAGCCACAGTGGGCTAACAAGTGGCCTGTAGTCCAGCCTTCCATCTGAGTGAGGCAGGGTTTGCGTACCAAGCTGGTGGGTGCTGACAGGATAATAAGTTAAGAAGAAACTGTCTGCTCACTTTTGCATAGTTAGAAAGCATCTTATTACTGAACCATCCTTGCACACAGGGCTCCTAGCCAAGACTGGCATTTAATCCTTGTAATTATATTCAGGTTTTTCTTGTCTGGTTTAGAGGTAGACTGGACTTGTCTATTTTATATCCTATTCATGTCCTGATGTCGGTCATCTCTCGTAGAACCTAAACCTCCAACCTCAAAATTTAGATAAGATTCTCAGTCTCAAATGGGTTGTATTTCACTTCCACCATGTTGCAAAACAAGTGTGAGAAAACACATGCAACAGCTATTTCAGACAATAAGATTTTGTTAATGTCATCACTTCTCTCTTAGAAGGGACTGGTTTGCTGCAATTTCCTTGTTACTTGGACTTCTTGTCAGCTATTTATAGCCATGGTTTTTATGCAACAGCATGAATCACCAGAAACCAAGAGAACCTTGCTGGTCAGACCATATCATTGATTTGTCCCAGCGATACCATGCTTGGATCAAAACAAAACAAAACAAAAAAAAACAAACAAACAAAAAAAGAGAACACTTTCATACAGCTTCCAGGGCAGCATTTTTTGATGGAACAATAGAAGAAGAAAAGTTTTAAGTCATCATTGTGGATTCACATGAGTTAATGTAGTTCAGGGAAAACCCAGAAAGTTGCTCTGCAGCAGCCTCCTATAAAACTAGTGCTGACCCAGTCCTTTGCTTGGATTTTTTTCCTTTTTTTCTGTGCCTCTTGTTCTTTCCTCATAACTTCCTTTTTCCACATATAGAGTCATCTCAAACTTTAGGCACATTTAGACTGGAAATTCCTTGGCACTGACCAGCCTCAGAACTGAAAAGCTTCACCAGTTTAAAGGAACACAGCATAGACATATTGAGTACTGGATTTGTAACACATGCTAAAATAAAACAGCACACACAAGAGCTCTGGGAGCTTACAAGGGCTGAGATGTAACTGCTTTGGCTATCACTACAGAAGAACAGGTTTTGGCAGGGAAACTGGTTATCTAATCCAGAAAGCCGACAAACAACATCAGGAAACTGACTCAGTACAGTAATATATGTATATACATGCATTCCTGTATAGGTACACATGAAAATAAAAGAAAAATATTTGTGGCTTTCAAAACTGCACCTGGGGGAAGGTCCAGGCTCATGTTGGCTGTGTAAAGGGGGAGTTCAAGAAGCTTGTTCCAAAAGATGAGCATAGCTTGCATTCTCCAAATAGTTTTTATTCCCTGGGCTACCTAATCACTTCACAGTACATAAGAAAACTGAACAATTCAGTGTCTCAGCTTTTACTTGACTTACAAGGTTTGCATTTGTTTTGTGGATTTTAGCTGCCCTTAGGCAGGGGAATGGGACTTAATTGAAGTCCAAAGGCAGGATAACCACACTGTTCAGTGAAAAGTCCTAGTACATCACAGACCAGGAATTTGGGTTCACTGTTGTGCTGAAGAGGCAAAGAAAACTTTTCTATATTAAAATGGTTCCAATTTTAGGAAAAAAATCATACTACAGATGTTCCTTTCAATATTGAAATCATATATCCATGCAGACTTGTCCATTTAATTTATTTCCAAAGTTATTCTTCAAATTAATTTATATTTTGAATATTGATAATTCATGCTTTTCCACAAATCACATTTTTTTAAAAATTCACTCTCAAAGTCTGTTCCTCAGTTCAGAGATTATCACCAAATACATTTCCATTTTGAATTCTCACAACTAATTTTTGTATCTTTCAAACAATGTGCTCTTATCCACTACCCTAGCATCAATTGTACAGGAAGCCTTACTTTTTTGGTAGCAAGCCTGCCTGCTTAAGTTTCAAGGTTAAATATCCTGATCTCATGACAAGCATCACTTTTTTTTTTTTTGTAGGCCCAGGCCCTAGAATTCTAAGTGTCACCTTTATGACCTGAAATAAAACAATACCAAAAATCAGTCAAGTCTGTCCCTACCTCCTTTACAGTGAAAAGCACAAAAAACATTTAGTTACTTCACCCTTGCTTAACTACTTCAATAATTAAAAATATGAGTAAAGCTAATGCATGTATGTCTTCAACATTGATTTTCTTCTTATGCTGGAGAGAGAAAAAAAAATCAATTTCATGTGCTTAATATATTTTAAAAGCTTCCTGCAATTTAAATGTGCTGCAAAGGTCAATATCAGCTCTCATTTACTTAGGCTGTTTTATAAATTAAACTGTTACTGGATGGATTTACACAGATCCCCTCCCAGAGGTCAGTGGCACAGAGAGGGCAGCCTGGCTAAAGGCTGGGCTGTTTTGCTCAAACCCCATAGCAGAAAGGCAGGGTGAAAAAAGTGTTTTATTCAAGAGGCACCTCTGTGATGGGGACTGAATGGCACAGCAGATGTGGCACAGCCAAGGCCAAGGTTGTGCAGATGCCAGCAAGCATATTTGTTTTCCCCTCCACTCTTTCTGAGAGCCCTTTGCAGCAGTTGTGTGAGGATTCCCCAAGGCTGTAAAAATAAGTAACTCTTTAAAAGAAGATTTCAGATGAAGAATATGAGCAGTTTTTTAGCTGTGACAATGCATATATGTTTCAAAATTGGTGAAAAGTACATTTATTTCCCCCATTGGAATCACTTTGGTATCTGATAGACACCTTATTCCTTCAGTACAGACAGTTACTAGTATATAAAATTCAGACATTTTTATTTCAGCTTTGGAAAGTCATTGGAATCTGTAGACAAGAGTAGCTATAGTAAAAATCCAACTTAAGTGTATTTCTTCACTCCCCCCTAATGAAAACTTTTAAGACAAAAAAGTATTTAAGATCTCTGTAATAGCAAAGGGACTGGTCTGGATCTTCTAATGCCCAACACCAAAACACAGCATTTCTGCCCTTAACTGAGTCCTAGCCTTCTTGGTCTTTACCCTACAGCTACAACTCAAGCATCACAAGTAGGAGAGAAGCTACTCAGACTTCATCTCTCAAAACATTAAGCTTATGTATAATTCAGTAATTTAAACAGTGTGGGAGAAAGTGGTTCACACACAAAACTGAACTAAGTGGATGGAAATGAACAGTAAAAAGGCATACAGAACTACATCAAGTTCTCTGCTACATCATTGTAATATGGGTGGAATGATTTCTTCTGATACTTCAGAAACTTTTCCAGGGCCCTACAACACAAGGATGACAAGTTACCAAAATACCGGGCATTATTAGATTTAGTATGTGTAATTACTATGGTAACTGCCAAGAATGACTGTAATAGTTAATAGTTCTCAGATTGTCTGTACAAACTAACACATTGCATCTCTGGCAAATCTAGTAGTTTGCTGGAAACCTTTGAGTGTGACAAGGTAATGAAAACTTTCCACTGCCTCATCCCAAAGACTTTTCTTTACATAAATATTCTGTTTGTTTTTATATACACACACACACATAAATACACATCCCCTATAGATGTCAGTTAGAGATTTATCTTATTTTAAATTCTCTCTCTAACCATTTATCTGTTCTAAAAACACCAAACCAGAATCCTACTCTTCTCTGTTTGATATCTCTGTTTTTAAAAATATTTCCCCAAAGAAGCTGGCCTAAATCATCTAGGAAGCTCCTTCCAACCTGAAAAGCTGTTTCCTCAATCTCAAGCAATGCTGAAGAATACCTTTGTGATTAAAGATCAGAAGATCAAATCCATGGTTTTCAGCTCTCAAGTCTTCCAAGGCCAGAGATTCAAGTTTTGCTTTATTAAATATTTATACACAGAGTGAAAGAATATGTTTTATAGTTTCATTTTTTTAGACATGATGTGTGATCCACACTCCCACAGCTCAGAATAAGTGAATAGACTCAGAGTGAGGAACACCTGCAGCACTCTCAGAAAAGAAGCAGCAGCAGCATGCCACAGTATAGAAAAAGAGCACACACTCAGTGTTACAAAGATGAAAAAAGCCAAGCACCAGGTTAATGTGGTATCAAGGAAAGCACAGTGTCACCTGAAATACAGCCAGTGGCTTTCACTCATCTCTTCCACCGATGGAACACGGTCACCAACTCTGGTACAGCACAAGAATGCAATGTGAGTAACAAAATGCTCATGAGATGGGAGCTCTACAGAGCTCTTCAGCAAAACAAAGCAAACCAACAAAAAAAAGTCCATACCAAATCAAAAAAGACAAAACATACATGAGCAGCAGTGGCAGAGCAATGACAAAGTGACCAAAAAACCAAAACTAGCAACAGCAGCAATGTATGATTGACATATCCAGTAACATTCTTCATTTGTTCAGATCCCAACTGGCAACATATCTGTATTAATGACAGACTACATCCCCCAGAAAACCAGGTTCAGTAGCTCAGTAGCTCTCTGGTGCTGCACACAGAGCCAATCTAAGACAACTCCTACTACTTCAGACCTGCACATGGTCTGAAAGAGACATCACAAGAAATAGTCATGAGAAGCTACACATGTATGAGAGGGGTCATCCAATACTGCCTGGTTTCAGAGCACTCCAAACCAACTGGTAACAAACACTAAATCACTCCATTGCTTTAGCTAAAAATTGATTTAAAGATTTAAAGATTGATTTAATCTCCAGTCATAACAGAGTCTGTTTTTACTCCTTGCTTTGCCTTTTTCAGTTGTGTTTGTGGGGTTTTCTTTTTAGGTGCAAATGAAAGCATTTTTGGCTTCCAGTATTTTTCACATACATATTTTCTTAGCAGCCTGTGGGGTTTTTTCCCCCCATATTTTTCCACAAAGGCAAGGTCAAGAACTATATATTGCTTATGTGAAATAAAAGCCCAGATGATCAGAAATCCACAGAGGCCTCACTTTAGAAAAAGCAGGCGTACACACCCTGGTTGCATGCTGACATCTTGACTAACCAAATATTTAAGGCTATAGCTTGTGATACGAAGAGCATTTACTCATCTAATCCTTGAATATTGAGGCAAATACCAGACTTCAGATAGCTTTGTTTTGGACTCCATGTTCAATAGCTCTTTTCCCATGCCAACATACACTCCAGGTCAGAGTACTCTGCTCCCCTAGGTCATCACTGAGATGGTTCTGCATGCACAGCAAAAACTAAAATTAAAAACTGCCCAGTAACTTCCCTTCTCTGACTTCTTCCTCTTTCCTGTATCTTTGCCAAGTTAGTATACTAAAGTTTTCCCAGATGTCTGTAATGAGTGCAGCATTTTTGGAAAATTTTAGCTATTTTGGAAGAGTTCAGTAGTTTCTCAGAAGATGTCTGAGAAAGAGGAGAACACCCATCACCACCATGTTTTTAAGAAACTAAAACCCAATCCCTAAAAACCTATGGAATTAGAAGAAGTTGTCTCAGGTTGTTTTTAGGATACTTTTGGATCTTTTCTGACTTCACTTAACCAAGACAATGACTCCTGAAACTGCTGGCCAAGAATTGCCAGTTCAACTCCTATCATCTGTGTGCTCCAGATGTGTCTCAACCCAATTGCTACAGTGCCTTCCCCACACTTTTTCTCTGTGGTGTGAATTGCTGTGTTTCAGAGAACAAGAAGAGAGAAAATGAAGCATCTTCCATACTGACTTCCAGACTTCCAGAGGAAGAGGTAATCTCTTTCCTACCAAGGGAAAGCCCCAGAGGGGCGAGGCCAGAGGCATGGGGGCAGCGCTCCCAACTCCACTATTAAGCCAAATTCAAGATCGATGATGAATAACTAGAGATTGGGAAAGGAGGAGGAAGAACAGAAAAACTAGGGAAAGACAACTAGACAGAAAGAGATGGGCAAGGAAAAAGCCCACAACGATGGCAAGGGACAGCCCCTGTGTCTGTGCATCTGCCTTCAAGGGCAGTAGAGGATGGCTGAAGGCCACAGTGAAGGATCTAAGTAATACAATAATGGAAACAGGCTGCAAAGCAGGAGGATGCAACCTCCTATCAGACATCCCCCACCTCATGGAACATAGCATGAGGCTGGATCCCAGCATCAGCACTCACCTCCTGCCATCCCAGCACTCTCAGGTATGAAATGCACATTTTATCATCGCACCACCATGGGTAAGGGAATGGAGTATGTGTTGGAGCAAGCCAACACTTTCACCACCATCACAGATAGTTAGGTAGCCCACAAAGCAGCTGGATGAGTTATTATTTCCACATTTCTTTTTCAGTTTGCTCTTTTACAGAAAAATAAAAATTGTTAAATAGTAAGCTCTTTAAAGATTGTACATGCAAAGTCAGACATAAGGCACTAAATGTCTAAGTTGACGTTGTCTGTGCAACCTTTAGCTTTTATGGTAGAAAGAAACCTAAATAATTTTAAAGTGTAAGGTATAATGCTTTCAGATTAATAAAAAAGTTTCTAAGTATAACTGAAATGACTTCATTAAAATAAGCAATAACTTCTGCATTTGCAGCAGGTTATGGAGAGGAAGGCACTAATCCATGTGCTGCTTCATTCAACATGAAAAGAACCAGGTCACTAACCTCTAATCAAAAATGGAAAACACATTGTTTTGCAATACAAATGCTAGGAGTTCCCTCTTTTTTCCTGGGACAGATAAATGAAACAAGAAGTCAGCTGTTTGGCTTTTTTTTTTGAAAAGAGGAATTTTGCCAGTAGTTTTGTTTACATAGCTCTCAAGTTTGCTGGAACTGTTAAAGCTTCAGCCAGGAAATTGTTTCTTTGTTTAGGTCTTAAAGGATGAGATTATACTTTTAATATTCAGGTCATGCTTTAGTTTCTAAGAAAAAAATCTGCTACTAGAAAATGTAACTGTTTACCACTCATATGCTTGGACGTGTTTCACTGACAGTCAGCCAAGGAACTCTGACACATGATATCATGGCTTTAGCTCCAGTTTCTGGTGTTAATTTCCTTGGCGTCAAGTGGCAGAAATCAAAAGTATCTAAAGATCCCGTTATTTTTTTACTCAGATTTTGAAGTTGTGACCTCACTTTTCCAACCAGTTAAGCAGTAAGCTGAAGTTAAGCCTTTGCTACAAACCTCAGGTTCTTCACTTAGCAGTATATCAAAGCCTTGTCAGTGTCCCTGGTAATCTACCCTATCTGAAAAGATGCCTGCTCATCCCAATATCTGAAATTTAGCAAGAGGAGGCAGAGACTTTTTTTGCCTATTTTCCTCCTTATACTGCTTTTTACGTTACCAAAACTTAATTTTCATGTTAGCCTCTCTACCCTACTTCTAATATTTCATATCATGGGAAGGCACCAACAGTAAGTAAAGAACCAAGCATGCATCCCAAAGGCTGCACAGCTAACAGTGTGGCCAGAAGGCATGTGCCTCTTCCTCTTGGCCTCAGCAAAGCAATTCTGGATCCCTGTGTGGGAGCTGCCCCTTGCATGCACACAGCTGCTTCCCCTGAACTCAGTGGTAACAGGCCAGGCTGACACTCCTGAGCCAGCTCCCCAGTACAGCCCTACTTAAATCATGCAGGCACCACCTCAAATAAGCCCTTTTGGTTTTGGTGTCTGGCTTGGCTCCTCTGACTCACCCAGACATGGGCCTTCTGTTCACATTCACACTGAAGAAAGGCCAGCTGCTTCATGAGGACTTGGTAATGGCTGACTAGCCTGCCTTTCTTCCTGTTACACCTGGCATGACCTTCACATCAGAACTGTACTCTTAGGAGTCCCCACAAATCCTGACATTTAAGTCAAACATACACATGGCATTAATTTTCTACATCACTTCATCTGGGAAGCAAACAACCTTTTATCTTATAACCTCTCTTCTGCTAAATAATCCTCTATGTGATGACCACTTATTTCCAGCCTCTGGCAATCGAATTTAATGGGCACATATCAAGGCTCAGAAAGCATCCTAGGGACAAGTTACCTACTGCACAGGCTCAGGATGCATCAGCACTATACACTCTGCTGCTGAGCGAGGCGCTGGGACAGCATCTCAGCTTCATCGCCTCCTGTTTACCTCTTCCACTCAGTAGAAGGGGATTGAAAAAAGATAACTGGCATAATTTTAAAATTCAGCTGGAAAATAATTTGTTTTGGTTTTAATCTGTAAAATCAGGACCCCTTTTTTTTTTTTTTTTTTTTTTTTTTTTTTTTTTTTTTTTTTTTCCCCCCAGCAGAAAGTGTTCTAGCCACTGAAGGTATCTCACCGGCACCGAGTTTCTAATTCTCGCTCAGCAGCACACGGCCGCCACCTCCTGGCACAAATCTGATTTCATGGGGCCCCAGAAAGTACAGACTCCATCTCTGGCAGGTCAGTGCCTACCGAGCCAGCTGTAGGCAGACCCATGGGGTTCTCTAAAATGCTTTCTATGGAGAGTTCCCTTGTTACACGTATTACCCTTCCTTGGACAGGAAAGTTCACCCTTTTTTTCCTGTCAGCCACGCCAAAAAAAGTAATTGTTAAAATTACTGCTTACTCGCAAGGATGGGTAAATCTCCCCCTAAAACTACAGCTAAACACTCAGAACTATGCTTCAGTCAGCTATCTTTTGGTAGTTACTTCTCTAGGAATGGTACATTCCTAGAGAAAAGAGCCTTTACAGCTCTTATGTCTGGTTGGTCACACTAATGGCTTCTACAAGTCTAGCCACCTTGAGGGGTAAGCCTGGAATGGAGATGGGGTTAGTCCTCTCTGCCTGCAGGACCAGCTCATCAGCCAGGCTAATGGAGCCTCACTGCTGAACTAGATTAGCTAAAGGAGGAAGGACATAACCTTGGATGCTTCCTGCTTTTGATGGAAGAGGATGGGAGGAAAAAATGCTGCTACCTCAGGATGATTTTGCAGTTAGCCAAGGGCTGGGCCACATGCAAGAATTCAGTCCTGTCCTACTGCTGATGACAGAAGAAGCCCTGGGGTAATGGTTGATTGCACCCAGGGCTTGTACAGCTCATATTGTTTTAATTCCCTTCTATTTATCTTTGCCTCCCAAACTTCCAAAATTATAATATATATGTATTTACCAACGATTGATATGTGATTCTCTAGCACATCTCTTGATAAATATTCTCAAATATGAAAGTACACGCAGTCAAAAGTTGTAACTATTAACCAGCATTTGAACTTACCATTTTCACAGATCTCCTCAAAACAGGAGGAAACACATCCTGAAGGCCAGCAGGATCCCATTTATCCCAGTTGCTTAAGATAACATCAGGTTTTGTTTAAAGTACATTCAGCTTAGCACCACCCAGTAAGGAATCCACTGAACTTAAAAACCATAACAGGCCCATTACGAAGAGCCAAAAGAAAGGGAACAGCCTTAGTATAATATGAAGTTTATATAGGACTAGATTAATTCTTTCCTTTCAATATGGAGCTGCTTTATCAGGCAACACTATTCCATTTCCTGCTGGACTGCAAAGACCTAGATACCTACTTGCAGGACACCAGAGCACCTTTAGGCTGAATCCCAGTGGCATCAGTACATTTTCTTTGTCAGACTGCACTAGAACTTTCCTCTTTAAAATATCATGCCCTAAATACCTACACATATATATATATAAATACCATGTTCTAAAAGCTTCTAGCCAGCATCAAGCAAGTGCTGTAGAGCTATGCCAAATGGGCACAGCTGCCTGTTGAAAAGTGAAGTTTACCCAGCACACAGCTGCATACTGACCTGATGTTCAGCCATGAGAGCATGGGGGTTGTACCTCCACCCACAATCCACACAGTGAAAAACACGATGAGCAGAGTTGTTGAGAACATCATTTGGTGGGAGTAGGTAGCAGTATCTCGTATAGCTAGAGCAAATGCCATGGCTCCCCTGAGACCTATCAGGAAGAATGAAATAACACAGCTTCAGAAGTGCAGCCGTGACTGTGGAGAGCACAGCACCTTTCCTTGATCCCTCCCACAAAATGTCAGGCAGAAAGCACTGAGCTCCAGCAGGTTTTAATTTCCTCAGATTCCCGGATAAATTATGCTCTGAGATAATTTACAACAGAATGTTGTAACTGTCCTGGTTTCTTATAGAATCCACAAGTGCTGTGAAAAGGTGTAAATACTTCTAGAAATTAACAGGAAAGGAAGACAGAAACAAGTTGTGGACAACAGCAAGACATCATGTGAGTCAAGCAGCTCCCTGAATCCAGATGAAAATTCAGACTTTTCTAGTTGAATCCATAATTGAAATGTGACTTCTTGACATGACATTTTTATCAGCTAGAAAAATACTCTAGTTAATTACATGGTCACAGGCAGACTGTATCTCTCCTCCTCTCCTCTGCTCCCAATTATGAAACTTCACTAGCAAGAACAAGCCATGGCATCAGGCCATCTGCAGACTTCTTATGTAAAGGAATCACAGGATGGTTAAGGTTTTAATGAATCCTGGAGTTCATCTGGTCCAATTCCCCTGTTTTAACAGCCCTGCAGTAGGTTGCACAGGACCACATCCAGATGACTTTTGAATATCTCCACGGATACAGATGCCACAACCTCTCTGGACAATTGTACAATGCTTGGACATAGTAAAAGAGGTTTCCTGATGTTCAAACAGAAAACCTCATGTGCTCCAGTCTGTTACCTCTGGGCCTGGCACAGGGCACCACTGAAAACAGCCTGGCTCTATCCTCTTTATACCTTCTTGTGTACAGAGGATTCCCTGCAACTTCTGGAGGATGCACATGTTTGGACACACAATACATAATTTGCCTTACAAACTTAAACAGCCATCTGTGTGACAGAAATTACAAGGCAATTTAAGTCAAATACCTTTGTCCAACTAAGTGGGAAAGGGCACCGGTAAATACATCTCGATTTTCTCAGTTTCTGCACAACGTGAACATCATCTCAGCTAGAAACAGCCTTTTGGAAGGGGTACATCCCAACTCTCCCATGTCCTTCACAAGCACTTCAAGTGAAAATGCTCTGTTCCCAACATGAGGTGCTGCCTGCTGTGAGCATTTCAAGGTGTCACCCACCCCAGACATGGCACACTTTCTGTAAAGGCTGAAGGGTACATGATGGCATGCTGCAACAATCAGTAAGCCTTCCCTTTAGGATGCATGAACGTGGATCATAAAAACAGAAGGTAACACAGTTGATTGCTTACGAGTTAAAATTAAGACTTTTTGCATTGCCCAGAATTTTTGCTCTTACCTGAAAACATCATCATGTGCTGAAAGCTCCAACTGATCTTATGCCTCCTGCCCAAATTCAACAAGAAGGAGAGGGGGTAAATATGTGCAGCTCTGCCCAAAAAGATTGCAACCTGTTTGCAGCTGAGGGTTAAGGATTTATTTTTGTTGAGGTATACAGTTTTTAGTATCTGGCTTTAATATGAAGCTTCTGTTTTAGTGGGAGATTTACATCATGATATCAAGGGTTCTTCCTGTAGGTGTGTATCTAAAGCAGACTTTCCCCAATTTTATGCAACTTGTGCATTCAAAAGTGATTGCACCAAATGCAAATTTTTACTAATATAACTAAGTTTTTAGATGCACAGTGAAATTATACCTGGTATTAAAATGACCAGTTGTACAAATGAAGACTTTATGTTGAAAATTCACACTTTAAATAATTATCACCACCACCACCACCACCACTCAATTTTGAGTTTTGTAACAACAGAAATGCAGTCCTGTGTACAGAGGGGAAAACCAACTTAAGACCAGCAAGCAGCCACCCCATTATGACTCCTGCAGAGGCAAGATCTCCTATTGGCTAGCAAACACCTACCACTAGAGAGTTACTAAGAATATAAATCCAAAAGTCATTTGTCAGCATTAGAATGAAGTTGAAAAGAATAGTGAAAGAGTATTGCAGAAATTTATGACAGTAGGTGGTAAGGACCCCCAATGTGGTGCAAAACATCCAGTGGTTCCAGTGAAGAAGCAGAAAGCTGAAAACACTCTCCATAGTATAAGGAGCACTTTGGGAAAAAATAAAGTGGTGGGCTGAAATCCTGTAAAATGCCAGCATGGCCAGAAGCCAAACAAATACTGATCATTTGCTGCTGGGATGGGAACATTAGAAGAATAATACATCTCCCATGGAAAAGAAATAAAGGAGAGTATAAGAGCTCTAGACACCACTGGGTTATTGCCATAGCTAAAGCAATGCAATGCTGTCAGCAGGGAATATCTCTAGGAAAATCAGATTTTGATTATTACTTTGTACAATAATCCTCACATAACTATTCCAAACAACTTCTATACAAGTCCTTTTGAGGACTGCAGAAATCAGACATCAGAAGCCATCAAGAGTAATGTATGTAGACATAATAGCTTAGATTTTGCCAAGGATGCTGAGGCTCTAGCTCTGCCTTTAAAGTCCAGCCTTTCAACAACTGGTGATGTCTCTATATTTCACCTCTGCAAGCTGTTAATTCAATGGGGACCACAGGTGTTGAGTAAAACATGGGTGCTAGTACTAGATGCCCTCCTCACAAAGGTAGAAAAGCACTCAAGAGGCAACAGAGGCTAAGTGTAGTGGTAGAAAAATATGTGGAGAATGTATTAAAAGGTGAGTAGGTAAAGCAACAACTACTGAAAACAAACCCAGGGCAGACAGCACAACTTGAGAGAAGATGGAAGGCCATACTAAGCATGAAAAATTACATTGCTTAGTATACCAGACACAGCTAGTCTGTTCATATCTTTATCCAATGTCTGCAGGGCTCTGGAGCATTTCTTAGGTCAAAAAAGTGGATGGGAAGCAACACAGGAGAAAATTTATTACTATTCCAGAAAATGTAAATGGTCAAAGGAAAATAAAGACAGTGTGATAAATCCTGAGAAGTAGAGGAAACAGTAGAGAGAAGAGGAAAGAAGTACATCTCATACATGGCCATCTTTATATGTCCTTTTACAGTGTTTTGCCTCCATTAGCCCTACTCCTACGGCAGGCAGAGGGAAATGAAGAATGGAAAATTAGTTCCCATTTCTTCATGCATACTTATAATTCTGCTGAATTTTCAAGCAGCCAGGTATATAGTGAGGTGAGAGTTACACAGTCCATTTCAACAGGGGCAGGATGCAGAGCTTACATGAGTGTGACTACTACAAAGTGTTCAGTTCTGGGGAATTTGAGAGTCAGGTACCAAGTCAACCAGAGAAAATGGCAGAACCTTTAAACGTGTGCCCTTCATGTCATGGTCTGCACCCCAGCTCAGTTCCTTTCTCCTCCCATCACCAGAGATGCAAGCCTTGGGGACATTGCTCATTAAAGATGATCTATTCACCCACATTCCTTTTTATGTATTTAAAGTTTGCCCCTTACTTTCTCAAGAGGCCATTGGAAGCAGAGAGAAAAATTAATCCTTTTCCAGGTCTCCAAAGTTCAAATACAAGAACACAGTGTTGGCTGTCAATGGCCAAAGCATGCACTAAAGCATACTCATTTATTTATCTACTGAAACTATATGGCTTCTAACATTTAGGTACAGAGCCAACAGCTGTGTGGCACAGAGGCCTGAGGGCTTTGATGTAAAGTATAACCAAAGATTTTTCTCAAAATTATTGTGCCTGTGAGACATTAGGGAAACTTAGGCCAGCCACCATTCTCTGTTTGGTAAAGCCAACAGACATCACAAGTTTTTGGGCCCATAAAACAATAGAGAAACCTCACACAATGTGAAAAAGGATACAAAAGCTCCAATAATGAAAACTGGACTGAATATGTGCTTCTGGAAAGTAAACAGTGCCAAGCCCATATAAGAGAATATGAAGTTCTCAGCCAGGAAGTGCAACACCTCAAAGAGCTAGAGAGAAAACCATCACATGTTAAAGGCCAAGTAAAAAAGATGCTGTAAAAATAAAAGTACATAGACTACTACAGCAATGCACTGTAAAAAAGGTAAAAGACATCCTTGCCTGCTTTGTGCGACTTCTTGATTCGACTGACAAGTTATTGTATGTATAATGTGCCTGGGTAATTCCACAGAACAGGACAGCCACCACACCTGTGAACAGAACCACATGTAAAAATCAGCCTGTTTACTGTCAGCTCACCACACTTGCCCTTCACGAGCTCCATTTAATTTATACATAATTCCTAACCTTGAGATTCTATAACTCTTCCATTCAAGTGAGTGAGATACCAGGAGATGGTGTCAGAACCAAACCGTTGCCTTTGTTATACAGTGAGCTGCAGCTTCAGCACTGAACAGAACGCAAAAACACCCAACAACCCAACTTTAACCACAAACTTGTTTCTCGTTGAAAAGCTTCAATGAGAAAGTGGAAAAATGGCTGCTGAGATGGACTTCTGTCTCCATGTACTTGAATCCAAGCAACTCACCAGTAAATCCACAAGCTTCTGCAAGCAAGAAAGTGCTCCAGGACATCAGGAAGAAGAGAGCCGTTTCCAGCAGGGGGAAGCAGTGCAACTTGGTAAACTTTGTCACGTTAAGTCGCTTGTTAAGGGATCAAAAAGAAATCCTTTGGCTTCTCTGTTCCCAGAGTATTTGTGAAAAACACTTTTATGAACTAACAGCCCATGCTTGTTAGAAAACAAAGCACTTTTGATGCTGAAAAATGCAAATTCCAACACATCAAGGCAAACTTCAGACTCAACTTGCAGCAATCAGTTTTGGATATTTTTGTTGTTTATCCACGACACAGTGGATATATGTCCTTTATGTACATGTGTGGCTCCACCTCTTAGAGCTAATGTTATCTTATTCTATGGTTCCCTTTGAAGTACTGGCAAGGAAGGGATATACACCTGCTGTTCCTTTTAGACTGTGTGGGCCTTGGCTTTTCAGGGAATTGGTGGGGGAATGATGTTTTGTTCCCCCTGCCAACCTCAATTATGAGTCCCACTCCCACCTCCAAATAAAGCATAAAATGCATTCAAAAGCATTTCATTTACAGAGCTTTTCTTGACTACAGCAACCCTAACACCAGTGAGATTCACAAGAATTTTTCTTCTCAGATTTGTTACTAAGTCTTTTCCAGCAAACATGGCTACTTCAGTACTTTTAAGGCAAAACAATTTCTGCCCACAAAATGTATTACCTCTCCTTGTGCTGATGTGTTTTAGAGAAAAAGCCAACTCAGACCAGCTCAGTGTTTCAAAGCAAAGAAAAACCAAGTTCATCTTGCAGAGCAGAGCAAAACCTGAGGAACATCAAAGCAAACACTGAATTAACAATTCATACAGCTACCAAAGAAGCGGAACAGATTTCAGTAGTGTTAAATTTAGCCCTTCACACACTACAAAAAAAAAAGTTGTTCACCTATTTATAGAATCCTTTTGGTGTTTTTTTTTTCCTAAGTGCTGCTCTGGGGCAGGTAAACACTGAACAGCACACTATATCTGAGGTGCAAACAGCTATGCACAGTTCATATGAAGGCAATCAGTACCAACTCTCCACTCACACTTACTTCTTGCTGACATCCCCTACTGACTTGGACTAGGGCAAACATATATTCCAGACACACCTTTAGCTATGACCTTTGTCAGAAGGTTGCCCTCAAAACAAAGCCCAGAGCATCATTAAAAAAAATAATTAAATTCTGTGTTGGCATTACACCAAATATAAAATGCAGCATACTTTTTAAGCAGCTATTAATTCTGCACAGAAACCATTTCTAAAACTTTTGAGCTCAGCTGATTTCCTCCCCACCACTTCCCCTAAACAGATGTAAGATCATGCTTCTGAGGCAGCAACATCCAACATAAAAAAACTGGAACCCATTTCCCCACAGAGTTCTCAGATATTCCCAGTGCCTGGCTCAAGGGAAATTCATGGATGCCTAAGGAAACTGGATAGCTACAGTCACTCCAAGGGAGAGGAGGAGGAGGTTCAAACTTGTTCCCCTGAAATTAGGCAAGGGTCCCTGTCAGAGTCGGTTCCTTATTTCCAGTCTTTTCTGGCAGTTTTGTGAATCAAACTGTTTATTCCCCTTGCTGTGATTATAAGTAACCATACCAAAATATTTCATTAAATCTGAAATTAAAACCTGTGCTTATCATTTTGGAGGAAGATCAAGGTGAGAGAAAGGCAAGAAAAGAAAAACATTTCATTATTTCTTATAATTGGTCAAATTGAAACATTAACTGAAATGAAATTATTATTTATTTTTATTTTATTTTTTCTTAACCCTTTTCTTTATTTGTTAGACATGGCCATGTATTTCACATCTTTTCAACCAGTCAGATGCTGCAATTAACTATTACAACTTAATAGTTGTAATTACAACAACTATTACTACAACTTAACTATTTAAAAAAAAACACAGGCAGCTTGAAAGCTGAAAGCCAGAGTAAGTCCTTGCATATTATCTACATCATTTGGAAACCATGTATTCCATTTATTATCAAAGGACAGTGCATGACTGCATGAAACCCCTTACTCAGAGAGGTACAGATATAGGTACTTCATGCTAAAGGAATATTAATCCATAATTTATGGGTTCTAATCAGCTATGAATAGTAAAATGCAAATTTTGTTTGCTTCTACAGCATTGCGTGACATTAAGGATGTTTCCAAAAGAAAATAGTCATATAATTAAACAATCAAAGAAAAAAACCAAAACCAAAACAGAACAGAAAAGGAAAATATCCCCACACACAACATGCCACCACAGAGGCTTTGTTCTGAACAGCCTCACATCATCTTCCTGAGCACAACCATTAGAAAAAGCAAGGATTAGTTGCTGCTTCAGAAGCATAAATTTACAAAATGGATCTGAATGCATTTCAGCCTTAACTAGTAGCCAGCCAGCAAGGCAAAAGCCACAACAACTGCATTTGAGCAGTGAGAGCTATGGATGGATGAAAGCCTAAAAGCCAAAGTAAGAATCGTGGTTCTGGGTCCCCTTGATTGCAGATCAGTGGAATTGAGACTGAACATTAAAGCATCAACAGCACATCTTCCCTGATATCCTTAAAGGGTTTCCATTATGCAGACATGCCAGGAAAATCTGGACAGTGTGTATATAAGACACAGTCCAGACATTACTGCTTCAGAGTCACAGGTTCGTGATCATTGTATAAAACATCACATTTTACCCCTTCCAGAAATAACAGAGATTTTGCTGAAGACAAATCAAATACCATTTATCATAGGAGATGTCTTTCAAGACTAATAATAAGAACTAGGTTTTCTAACTTCATAAAAGACTAAACATTATTAGGATGTGCCTGTTAATGGCCCTCCCTTGGTTTGTTGCAGCAACATCACTAAGACTTCTACTATGGTCTCAATTTTATTGGAAAGGGTTGATTTCTGTGGGTACCTATAATGTCTTTCTATAGAAAAGAAGTGACATGAATACTGGCCACATCTTCATACTGAGAATTAAACAAGCTAGAGTTAGTTTTGCTATAATGGGAAACAGAAAAGCCCTGATAATATCCGTATGTGCCACCTCAGCTGGAATAACCAAACATGAAAAAGGATATCAGAGCTGTCACAACCCCTGTCACTGCTCCCATCATAAAAGAACCGCTGAATATTCCCAGAAAAACACCAACAGACTTGAAAAATGCTGCAGCATCAAAAGCATGGGTATTTTCACCTGTTGGCTGGTAGGCAACTATAGATCTAGAAAGAAAGAACACAATGACAAGTTAGAAGCGGCATCAGAAAAAATTTTTCTGTAACAACACTACCTGAGCCACAGAGAGACAATCCCATTCTGAAGGCATCTGTGTCATTCTGGCTTATGCATGCATTAGGGGCCTTGGGAAATGTTTGCAGTGGTTACCAATCCAGTTAAAGGCAATCCATTTAAACTTAAAATAGTGTTTCTCAGAAAAAGCATTTATTTCAGACAAATGCCAAAAGCAATTTAGTAATTTCACAGTAGAAATTCACATAGTTACTTACGAGGACAATACAATGGCAACAGCATCATTCAACACGCTCTCTCCAAACAGAAGGGCATAGAGATCGACATCAGCATGCAGCTCATTAAATATTGCTAGCACGGTAACTACAGAAAGAAAAGAAGAAAACAACACTGGAATGACTGTATGAGCTGTGGAGCAGACTTCCCAGTTTGGGTAAAGCAACACAACCCAGGAATTGAAGTATGGGATCAAAACTAAAATGGGAAGCCATAGCCATGTTTACCCACAAGTAAGCAATTCCTCCATCAGTTTTAGGGCAGCTCCATTAGGAGGTGGCTCTTTTGTCTTCCCATCTGCAGTGTTCATAGCAAGGCCCCCATGATCAGGGAGCATGGGGCAGACAAAGCCCTTCTACCAAAGCCCTGGTATTATTTTAAAACATGTTCCATATAGGACAGCAAGCAAAATGTTGTGCAGCTCTTCCTGCTTTTAAAAGCTGTTTGGATTGTTGACACAGGTTTATTATTTCAACCATTGTAAAGCAGTACAAATAATCCTAAGTGTTCCCCTAAGTATACACTATGCCACAGGTGTGAATTTCCACATAATTTAAAAAGGACAAGAGTGCTAAATATTTATAATCATTCTTTCAAGAAAATTCTGAGATGAACGACCATGATCTTGAAAATGTTCCCATATACACACTTCAGAAATCACATGGTGATTTTTTGCATAAATTGCATGCAACCACCAGCTGTTCAGAGCCCAGCTCAATCACAGGAGCTACTTCCCTTTTTCACACTAATCACCACAAAGCACCTCAAATAAACTGCTTTAAATATCAAGCTTCATAACTTCAGCACTCCCCACCCTGGCCCCTGACCTACAAACTGATCTGTCAAGCAGAGACTTCAATGTGAGCCTGCTTGACTCTGAAGGATGTCTACATTATTTGGGCAAAAGCTGAAATTACTTGGCCAGAAAAACGTTCTTCTGCCTTAACCTGTGAAACATGAAGTTGATCTGAAAGAGGAAAAAATCCCCCACCTAAAGAACCTAAAAGCTTCAAATATTGCTCTTAAATTACCCATCTCCAAAAAATGTAGCTGAAGAAGGAAGTCCTGCTACCCAGAAAAAGCAATAATTCCATCTATTTGCAGTCTTAAACTTGATGCACACTTAACAGGAAACCACCTAATAAAAATATATTTAAGTATTTGAACAGGAGAGTTAGACTTTTCTCCAAATATACCATGATGTCATACCAGTTCAGTCACAAATCAGCAGAGAATAGCTTTCAAAATGCTGAGAATTTGCATGCATTTCAGAGAAGAGGTTCAGAGATAGTAATCTGACATAACAGAAATAAAATCCTGTTAATATACAGCTGAAAATCCTAACAATATGGTTATTTTGGAAGGTTATTAAAAAAGTGTTTATCAAGGTACCTGGATCAGTGGCAGATATTATCGCTCCAAAGAGGAGGCAGTCTGTATAATAGAATTTATCAGACAGCTGACCCACCAACTTCATTAGTTTCACAACCCCATACATGAGATTCCTGAAGAGAAAGAAGAAAAAACATTCCAAATTAAATAAGCTGGTGCATTTCAGGCAGGCCAAGGGAAAGCACAAGCGACAGTGTTTCAGACAGGTTTCTTTTTGCTCCAGCTCAGTGGGACACTGCCACAGTGTAGCACAAAGCTCTCAAAGTGAACTTTCCCCTTTTCCCTATGAAGCAAATCAAGCAATAAATGATCCAGAGGACATCATATAAAACCAATAAGCAAAGTCTGAAATCTTCATACAATTAGCACAGAATCTACATGTGTCATCCGTTTTCCACCAAACTTTCCCTGCTCAGAATTCCCCTTGGTATTATTTCTCCCAACACAATACACAGGTCAAAAGCTCTGAGGTAAGATTAGTCTATAATAATAGATTATTTCTCTATTCTTTGAAATTCTTTGAGAGACAAGCCAAGGTCACCAATACAATTCAGGATTTCTGTTTTTCAGAATATCTGTATACAAGGCACAGTAATATGAGCAGCATAAGAGATTGCAGGCAAGAAAACCAACATGAGCAGCTATCTTGAACTAAATGTGTGTGCATATGCATACATAAAATATACATATGCAGGCAAAGAGAGAGAGAGAGAGTGCTTTCTCAGCTTAAACTTTAGTGTAGAGAGGAGCAGATATCGGAGTTCACTTACCCAATAATAAAACAAGACACTGCTGTTCCTAAAAAAGCATAAGCCAAAATGGACCCCAAATTCCTGAAAAAGTGTCTCTGCATAGGAAAAAGAGGTTTATATACTTTAGAAAAGTTATATTGCCCATTCAGAACCATGCAGCACAATATTTCACTTGCATCAACACACAGAAACACACCTCTACTTCAGAGAAACATTTCAATTACTGCTACATGAATTCAATCCAACTTCAATAAATTGAATAAACCAGATCTGTGCCATGCATTAGATCCCACAAGTAGCTTATTGACAGAAACCAGCACCAATTCATGATGTCCTCAAGCAAGACTAGAATCTAGGCCTTTCTGCCATTAAGGGTCTGGCACATCTCCACTGGGACTCGGGATTAGGTCTGCTTCTCAGCATAATTTACTGCTTTTTGAACATTTAAGAAGGACCAAAACAATTCATAATAGAACATATTTTACTTTAAATGAAACTGACATTAATGTCTGGCTAAGTTCAAAGAAAAACAAATCAGAAAAATTAAGTGGAGTTTAATACATTTATACTCCAAAAATATATGTATTTTCTCTTAAACCAATATGACCTAACCACTTCTGGAGGAAATGAGATTTTTCTTACTGTAAATAAATGCCTGAAAGGAGACTACAATCCTGAACAAATCAGCAATCTCACATTTTAAAAAAAAAAGGATCTATTCTCCTCAGAAGTTATTGCACTTACTTTCTTCAGGCTATAACCAGCATGGAAAATAATAGGAGGCAATAGAATGTTGAAAAAAACTTCTGGGTCAAATGTTACCTAAAAAAAAAAAAAAAAAGAAAAGAAATTTCAATTAGAAGCAGACATATACAAATTGTTAGGACTTTTTCCTCATTCATTTTCTGACAACCACTATTTTTGGTTGTTGAAATAGGTAAGTTTAGCCTCTAAAACATTGGCCAGCTCTGTTTGTATGTAGCAGCAAAAAGCTGCAGCTCTTGTTGGTAAATAGCATCTAGAAAGAACAGGCATCACATCAGCTACTCAAGATCTGGCAGCAGTCCCAAACACAGTCCCCTATTTTAAACTGAAAATTTCTAATAGAAATGATGCTGAAGGAGACCTCTCCTATTGTGACACCTGATATTAGTACAGCTGCAGATGAAATGCTATTTTAGCTTACTTTTTGTGCAAGTTTAACCACTGAATAGTTATTGTAAGCCAATCAAGTCAGATACAAGACTGGTTTTCAGAAATTTGGATAATACACCACTTCCATGTATTTCAGTTGGAGTTCCAGATATCCATGATGGACTACACTACACTAAAGAACAAAACACAGCAGTTAAAATGCAAACAGAAGACTTCACACATATGAGATTATCTCTGCTCTTTTCACCCACTGCCTAAGTACAAGTTAGAAGACAAACACTACAAATGTGCCCTCCCAGAGTAGGACTCGTTTCAGCTAACTTGAGACACCGACAGCAGAGAGATACACACACACAGCTAAGCTCTCTTCATAATCTGCAGAAAGGAATACTTGTAAACCACAATCCTATGCTTCAAAGTCTAGCTTTGATACATACAAAAGTGATTAATTCCTGACACTGAATCAAAAGGCAAATAACACATCTGAACAACTGCTGATAGGTGAATTTCACTTCCAACACCAGACTGTCTTATTTGGTGGTTTATAGGGTGGAAGCAGTAACTATTTCCTGACAATAAACAGATTTTAAGACCCTAGGAAAAAAACAAACCAAAAAGCAAACCAACAAGGAACAATCATTTTTCACTAAGAAATTATAATTTTCCTTATATTGCATTTACACAGGGCAGCAAAAGGCTTTTTTTCTTTTGGTTCAGCTGGTCTCTGAATTCCACAGGTGTTAGAAACATACATTAAGTCTTCAAACAGAGGCCTTTAGGAAAACACCACATACATGTAACAGAGTAGAGTTTCTCCAGCAGTGATATAATACAGAAGGTGCTTTTGAAGTAAGCATTGAAGTGCTGTTACTATCAGGAACACTGACACTTGACACTACCTAAGGCTCAAACGGGATGGAGGCGGGAGGAGCGAGGGAAGCACAGATGAAGGAGGAACACTAGGCCAAGCATGTGAAATGGTGTAGCCTCACCTTTCTCAACATGTCATTTTGCTCCACATTGTGGATCTTCCCAGGGCTTATTTCCCCTTTGAGCGTATACTCGAAGAACTTGCCGCTGACGTTGACCAGCAGGGTGGTGAAGGGCCTGTTCTCCTGCGAGCAGCTGAATGGTTTGTCGTGGCCACTCGTGGAGGGAGTCCCGTACCTCAGGATCACCCCAACTATGAGTCCTGGAAGAGAGGTAAAAACCCATGAGGCTGATTTGCTACGAGTTTCAAACGTCATCCAAGGGATTGTGCATGAACTTTACAAGCATATGGGCATCATAAACACGTTGAAGTGAATTGTTACCGTCAGTTTTCTGCAGGGGAAGGGTGGCCTGAGCACATCAAAACCACCAATGAATCTGAAGGATCCGGCACCTGACTGAAGTGACAAACAAAATGTTCCAGTTCAGTTTTGTCTTCCTCACCCTCATTCACACCTCGGAAGTGAAAGCCCCCAGTCACATGGGAGGCCAAACATTAGGACACATGAAATACATTTCACCTGCCCTGAGGACAGAACCAAGCAATTGCCAGAAAACAAGGACTGCTGGAAACACATGACCACACCTGATCTAGAATGGTGATGTTTGCTGTATTATTTTATGGCTGCAGCGAGGATGCCATTTTTAGTCTTACAATTTTAGACAAACAAACAATGCCTGTTGCATAATCTTCTGTGTGCTCCACAAACTTTAAAAGACAGGTGACATGCACGAGGAAGCCGCTACATGCCGTTCACAAGAACTTTCCACATTTCATATAAACAAAAATAAAATGCGGTGTAAATGAGCAATCATAAGAGATCCAGGGTTCAGGAATATAGGACAATTACTTAGGCAGCAGAAAAAATCCAACCAGAAAACACTATCAGTAACAAATGCATCAGACACAGTGACAAAAATAATTCATAACTTAGTGTCAGGGGCTGGAGAAGCACAAAGTTCTAGCTGAGCACCATTCCTGTTACAATGTACTAAGAAAAAGCATCTGCAGAGAGAACACATAAGAACAGTCAAAGTGGTTTTGGTCTGCTAAGTAAACAAATTGATACCCACTTACTAAAGGCTCCCCTGTTGCCTCAGGGTGATCTGCAATTTAATCTGTGTTCCAGACAAGTGCAAGATGAAGATGGATGCTTGATGCTTTTGTTGACAAGTCAGTAGTCAATGTTGGGTTTGCTCCCTGTGACCCTCCCTCTGCATCCATAGTTTCCCCAGATAGTAAATGAAGCTGACAGGTAATAGCCAAAAAATAAATGAGGCAAAACAAACAAAAAAACCTACCACACACAACAAAAACCCAAACAGACTTATTGCTATGGCACAGTGCAAAGAGTAACCCAACTGCACCCCCAAAAAGCCAACCAAAGGAACACACCTCATTCTCCTAAAGCCCACAGTGATAAACTGTTTTAATGAAAGAAGATACAGCAGGTAGCAGCTGTGACATTAGTGGGAGGCTCCTCTCTAGCCTTCCTTCTCTAAGAACAGAGCAGCAACGTGATAAATCCTGGATAAACTGGAATATTAAGATACATTTTATTTAGAAAAGGGAAGTACATACTCTGAGAGAGCACAGAGATTCCCTAAGCAAGATAAATCTACTTACTGAAGTTTCAAATGCTAACAATTTAAATACATAGATTTATAGAAGCATCTCCTAACACCACCAGAGCATTTTACAGCTACACATGATGGATGAGGCAGAAACACAAAGTGACACAAAGTGACAGGTTACAGCCAGTCACCTCCAAACCACTTGCACTACCTGTTATGGTACAGACACCTTCACATTGCTGCTTAGGCAAGCAGCCTAAGCTTTCTGCTGCTCTCACCCTCCTCACAGCTTGGAAGAGTTACGCTCACAGAATACATCAGGAAGACTGACTGGCAAAAACTGATCTAACCAGCATCAGCCAGAAGTCCTGTAGTAAATCAGAATGCAAAAAGAAAACTGTACAGATGAGCTTCCACATAGCTGTGGCACAAAGCCAATTCTATATTGCTGCTCAGCTGAATAGAGAGGGGGACACTGGTAGCTTCTTAGGGTCAGAGACTGTCCTTACTGAATGCATTGTAAAAGCAGATGGGAAGCCTCATTACTACTGCATTAGGAAGAGAAACCTGAGAGCAGGAGGTGATTGCACTATATAACTGGATATAATCCACTTGTACCTTTTCCTCCATAATAAAACATACCAGTTATATGGCAACTATATTCATAACTAGTACTTAGCATTTGAAGTTAAACATTCTATCCCATATCCTCATTCTCCCTTGGCCCAGTAGCACAGCTACAGGGAATTTTCATATACCTCCTCTTGGTAAAACAGCAAAAAGGATGAGTTTTTTGCACTGAGCACCATGCAGTTTAGGAGCATGTGGTCTCTGCTGTCAGGGTGCTGTCTTGCAGCAGGATGCACCTGGACCAGGTGCCTTTGTTGAGGCAAAAGGCTGTCAGAAGCAGTGGGTGAAGCTACCCACAGCTTAGTCACTAAAGGAAATATGTATGAAAACAAAAGGGGAAGACACACAAATTCCACAGCCAGTTTCATCAGCAAAATACTAGACATCTGTTAGTCCAAAAGATTAATTAGAAGAATGGAAAGCTCCCTGACCTGTACAAAGGTACAGGCATATTCCTATATATATCATATAGGCCCAAACCAACAAATTTTGAATATTAAAGTGAAACATTTAAGCACACATTTGACAGAAGTCATTAGTGCTTTTCCTAAAAGCATTTGAAGCCTTCACAACAATCTATACGGAAGAATTCTCCATTTTCCAATGAACATCATATCTTTAACACACTAAAAAATTACTGGACTTGTTATGTGATTTCTACATCCCATCTCACTTGATAAAACAACATTAACAAAGCTCAGACAGCTCAGTCAGCCCCTCAAGATCACAAAAAACTAAAACCCTAAATGCTTTTCAGGCAGAAGAAACTGCCTGGTTTACAGCCTCAGGAAGGATGCCCTTCTAAGCTGTCTGCCACTAGGTGTTATACAGAGGACCAGGGCATCCTTAGTAATTCTCTCTATGGATTTCCACCATTTCTGAAACACCAGAGTTTCAGCTGGAGAGGAAAAGTGGAATAGAAAGAGAGATACCTGGAATTGTTCAATGGACAAGCCTAGACTAAGACTTACTTATAGGCTGTCAACATAAGCATAGATTCAGTATATAGCTCTGTTGTTTATTTGGAATGGTTGCTGGAATCTAGGAAGAGATACAGAAGAATCAGTGCATAAACTCTGTGTTACTCCTACCCAAGGTGTTACTGCTGAAGAGTATATTGAGAACCTGGAACAAAAGCAAATATTTTTCTGACTGCTTAAGAACATTCTACCTCTTCAAAAAGAGAACCTCGAGGCCAAACAAATCCAGCACTTCCTCTTATTGCAAGACTGCCACAAGAGAGAAAAAGCTATAAATGAGTACAAATACTTCAAAATTTGAGAAGAGCATCACTTTCAAAGTTTTGGATTGTGATAGCTATTGCAAGGGCAAGTTTACATCATTGCTCCAAGACTCTTACAAAGGATTATCTCAGAAACTAATACTTAATAACCTATATGCATGACTTGCATTTAGCAGAGAGAGCATTTATGCCAGCAGCTTGCCCATACAATGCTGATTACACAGATTGTGTACTTCTTACTAGAAATGAAGGGTTTAAATCTGGGAATATTTTGTCCCTTCTGAAACAAATCACTACTGATAATTAAAAGTATTTGATTTCAGACAGTCATCAAATCATTTAGGTTGGAAAATACCTAAGTTCACTGAATCCAACTGTTACCCTGGCACTGCCAAGTCCACCACTAAACCATGTTCCTAAGTGCCATACCCACACATCTTTTAAACACCTCCAGGGATGGAGGTTCATCCACCTTCCTGGGCAATTCCAATCCTCGACCACCCTTTCAGTGAAAAAAATTATTCTAATATCCAATCTAAACCTCCTTTAGTGGGTGGGTCAACACCAATCTAACAATACACCATTTAAAATGTCACCTTTACTTTTGGTTTTGTTTGAGTACAGAAGCCACTGAAGCGAGAACATGAATTCAGAAAGACACACATAGCCACAAGTACCTTTATCTGGTAAGAGCCGTGGCCTGTGTGATTTCCAGCCCAGTTCTCTGCTGAAGCAGCCCTGAGGTTTCAGGGAGCGCCAGCTGGCAGCTGACTGCAGGAACCAGAGGCATTCACACTTCACATCACATAGTTTGATCAGTGAATCCAACTTGATCTGTGAATCAGTGGAGTGGATCAATCTGTGAGCTCAAACCTGTTCAGAAACAGTTTCTTTCATACACTTCTGGTAAAGAGCCAGGTGCTGAAAACTGAGGGTCCCTCCCTTCCAACCTTCAAACTGAGGGAGAAGTGGTAGAGATTTTACTGCTGTTTGCAGCTACTCTTTGGAGAGACAGAGAAGAGGGGGACAGAATCTTCTGGAAAGCTCGCAGTGATTAAAACTAGAGACAACAAACTTGTTGCAATGCAGGCGAAAAATATCAGATAAGGTTTGTTTTTCAAAACAATGAAATGGCTGAGCACCAGAACAGGCTGTCACAAAGGCTGCATAATCTCCTTCCTTGCACATAGCCAAAACTCAGTTGAGTATGGCCATGAGCAACCCAAGCTGTGGGGTCCTGCTGTGAGCAAAGGGCTGGACAAGACCACCTCCCAAGGTCTTTCCCATGAACATTTGGACCTCTCAGATATTTCATACTTCAAAAATTCCTTTAAAATCACATTAATTGCTTTCTGGATCAGGTCTTGGGGCTTTCTTGTTGCTTTGGAGCTGGGTTTTTATTTTTTCTAAGTGACACACTGCACTCCTAACTCAGAGCAAAATAAATACCAATGAGTCTCATCATAAAACCCAAAAAGATCCAGCAGACTAGGAAGGGGCTGCTTTTACTGCCTCAGTTCACCCTGACTTGCCACTTGCCTTGGGCCTCAACTAACCCTATCAAAAGCAGACAAAAGGGGTGACCAGGAGATACTTAGCTAGTTCCACATAAGTACAGGAAAGCAGGTACTGTGATACATCACATAAAGCACTTGTTACTAGTACTTCTCTTTTTCTTTCTTTCTCTTTCTTTTTTTTTTTTTATTGCAGCAGTGTATTTTGGAAGTCACACTACAGCAAACCACTGAGAGGTC